AACTAAAAAAAAAAAAAAAGGAGATTCTTATATAATATTGAAAAGTAGTGCTAGACGTGGTGGTGCACACTTGTAAATCCCAGCACTTGAGTGGCTGCATCAGGAGGATCACTTCAGGTTGAGGCCAGCCTGGGCTGCATAGTGAACTCAAGGCCAGCCTGGATTACACAGCAAGACCTCGTCAAAAAAAATAAAAATTTAAAAAAAAAAAAAAAAAAATATATATATATATATATATACACACACACACACACAAACATATATGTATAATGAAAACTATACCCTAGATTCATACTATAGCCTGCCTGTTATTTGAAACAATAAAATTTCATATTAGTAAAATTTTGTATATTTCCTAGAGTCTGTTATTTTACAAATTTACCTAAATTATTTCAGACTGGCTAGTGAAGGGAAGAAGTAGCAGTAGCCACAAAATGATAATTTAACAGAATTTAGAGATATGTGACAAATCAGAATGTGTTGTGCTGATAACTGCACATTTAGCCAAAGGGGAGAGGACCCAAGAAAAAAGTAAAACCTGCTTCGTAACAAATAATTACAGTATTCTGAACTTTTTTTCCTGCATTGCTGGGGATTGACCACTGGGTCTTGTACTGGCCCAAATCCTTTGTATTTTTGTTTTTAAGACAGGGTCTAGCTATGTAGCCCCGGCTGGCCCTGAAGTCACAGTGGTCAGCCTTCTTCCACCTCCTAAGTCCTGGGATTACAGGCCTGTGCCACCATGCCCACGAAACTCTTCAAAATTCTTTAAAAACTCTGATTAAAACTACATCTTTCACTGAGAGGAGGAGGCAGTTCAGGATAGAGCAGTGTGTCAGGGACCTGTATGATTTCAGGTTTTTTTTTTTTTAATAAGCTTGGAGAAAAAAGGAATCATATTCACAAAATACATAGCCTTGGAGATGGTCCCCAGAGCCGGTGAGGTACCACACTGGGCTGTGCCTTCCGAGCAGGCATTCTCATTGTGGAGTCACCCTCCGGAATGTTGGGGTAGGAATGCTGAGCGGAGGAGGAGCCTGTAAGACAGATGGTAGCTGACCAAAGCAGGAAGATGGCAGCAGCTCGCTCACTCCCTGCAGGGGCCTGAGCGCTGAGCTGGCCAGGGTTTCTCACCTCATCTTCAGAGGGAGTTTGGTTCACGCTGTTCATATACATATTTATGAAGGATGTATACACCAGCCCTTGGGGTGAGTCCTCCTCGCTTCTTTTATTCTGCTCAGAACAGGTACACCTATGCACTTTGAAAATGAGGGGGAACTTTCGGAGACACTGACAACCAGGCAGGGTTTCAGAGGTAATAAGTGGGGCGCCTAAGGCTCTTGGCCCTTCGATCTTTCTTTGTTATGTGATGGAAGGCGCATTATGTGGAGAAGGAGAATGAGATCTCTCTTAAAGGTTGAGACTTTTGTACGGATCCAATTTTAACTCTGATTTCATCCAGGTTATTGATGATGACAGAATAATTACTTTTCCCTGTTCCCTCATCTACCTTTTGTTTTCTTTTTTCTTCTTTTTTCCTTGTGATATTGAGGGTTGAACCCTGGGTTTTCATACTGAGCTACATCCCCAGGCACGCCCCCACCACACTTTCAGTTTTTATTTATTTACTTACTTTAAATTCTGAAACAGAGTTTTAGCAAGTGTTGCCCAAGCTGGGCTCAAACTAGTGATCCTTCTGCCTTAGCCTCCCAGAGTGCTGGGATTTCTTATCTACTTTTGAAGTTTCTCTTTTACCCCGTCTATCCTATCTCCCTTTGTATTCATCATCTTCCTCTGTACCTTCCTCGATAGCCCACTATCCTCTCCCACCTTCTCTCTCTCTCTCTCTCTCTCTCTCTCTCTCTCTCTCTCTCTCTCTCAATCTCACACACACACACTCACACACACTCACACACACTCACACACACTCACACACTGTCCCTGCAGGGGCCTGAGCTTTGAGCCAGCCAGGGTTGTGAGCCGGCATGTATGTGTGCATATACAGTCTGTAGTATTGCCTTCAAAAATATCTATGTGATAATCACATACACAGCCTTGTGCAGATTGTTCTTATTCAACGTTGTATGTTCAAGCTTTTCTGTGTTAGTGTTTATACTCCTAGAATTTTCTCATTTTTATCTGTATTGTCTGAATAAATCATTTATATCAGTTTCCCTATTGATTAATATGTGGGCAGCTTTTCAGCTTTTCTTAATATAAGCAAGGTTGCAATATATACATCTCTATCCATGTCTTTCTCTGTGTGTGTGTGTGTGTGTGTGTGTGTGTGTGTGCTTGAGTGACCATATCTGAGAAAGTCTTTAGATTATACCTAAAGGCAAAATTGCTGTAGGGTAGGATTTTTTTTTTTTTTTTAAGTTTTTTTGAGGGAAGATCTTTTTTGTTGTTGTTTTTTTTCTGGTACTGGGAATCAAACTCATGACCTTGCACTTGCCAGGCAGGCACTGTGCCACTGAGCTAAATCCCCAGCCCCTTGAGGGAAGATCTTGCTATGTAGTCTAGGCTGGTCTTGAGCTCATTAGGGGCCCAGCCTGTTAGGCCCAAACTAGATCCAAACTAGATCTTCCTGCCTCAGTCTCCTGAGTGCTGAGATTATAATCATGCACCACCACCCCTGGGTTTTTTTTTTTCCCCCACTAATGCTGGGGTTTAAACTCAGGGCCCCTTGAACATACTAGACAAATGCTGTATCACTGAGCTACACCCCCAGCCTGATAAGCTCTCATTAACTTCACTAGAAATTATCAAATTGTTCGCCCTGGTAGTTGTTCCAGTTTACGTACCTACCAATGCTATGTGTGAATTCTTACTTTTCTGTGTTCCGATGTGTGTGAAATAGCATCTCATTGAATTTAATTTGTACTTTCTCTGTTGTTTACTGAACTTTATATCTTAGTTTTTTTATTATAGTACTATTTTTTCATAATACTTACCACAAGCAATTATTATGGGTTGTTTGTTCATTTTCTACCTCCTTGTCCAGAGCATAACTCTGTGTAAAAACAGAAATCACCTCTCTCTGGTTTGCTGTTTTACACTCAGAGCTTAGTCCAGGGTCTAGCCTATAGTAGGGATTCAGTGAACGGAAATTTATTGAATGAACATGGTGGGAAGGGATTCCCGAAGTAAGTCTGGTATTATTATAGGGCAAAACACTTCATGCAGTAATAACAATTAAAATTCTTTATATTCCTCTTATCTAAGCTTTATGTTTTATTTCATAGCTAGTTCACTGATTCTGCGTGTTCTTCCTTTATTCAAGCATTTGAATCAACTTGAATAGGAGGTATCAGTAACTGAGAATAACAGAAATATTGCATCACACATGGCTCAATTTGATAAGAATGTCTGTCCACAACAGTTTTGGGCCTATGATCTGAAATATACTGATGTCTAATTAGTCTGAGATTGTCTTCTGTGTCTCACATCAAAGAAAAGCCAGTGCTCTGATGAGGTTCATTATTAGATAGGAAATTAATTAGAAGCCCTTTGCCTTTATTGAGATTCCTATTGACAAAGTTAATCCTGTCTCATCTAATGTATTTTCTGCGATATATGCAGACTTTATGAACCGTGATTCATGAGGACAAATAATTTTTAATTTTTGAGAAATACAAAAGTTGGAGAGGAGTAGACCAAGTCTTAGTTAACTTTTCTGCGATCCCCTTCTTTTCCATCCCATCCCTCAGTGCTGAGCCACTCCTGGCAGCACTGATCACATCTTTTTCTGTCCTTTTTCAGTTCCTGAGCTCTGCTTTGACTGCATTTTAAACTTTATTCCATTGCCAAACTAGGCATGGTGGCACACACCTATGATCCCAGCACTGGGAGGCTGAGGCAGGAGAATCGCCTCGAGTTTCAGGTCAGCCTGGGCTACATAGTGAGTTCAAGGCCAGTCTGAACTACATACGCAAGACCCTGTCTTTCAAAAAAAAAAAAACTTACTGCCTTAATTACAATTCTTTGGAATATAAGGAAAAATCCACTCAAATTATCTTGAACCAAAGTCCACCCAGGGATGTCTCAGAACCTTAAGAGCGTGCACAGCCAGAACCAGCAGTTAGAGTAGTGAACGCTTCCAAGTGTACTTCTCTTTTCAAGGGAAGAGCCAAGCTAAGGATGGAATCTCTTAGGCCCAATTATAAATTTAGGGGCTGGGGATTTAGCTCAGTGGCACAGCGCCTGCCTGGCAAGCGCAAGGTAATGAGTTCAATTCCTGGTACCAGAAAAAAAAAAAAAAAATCAATTACAAATTTGTAGGGGAGGATGCTGACCTCGCATGGCCAAGTGCTTTCTTCGTTCCAGGCAGCCATGGCCAAAAGATTATGTTCTATAAATATGGCAGGCAAGAGCTCCTGTAATATGTGGACATTACAGAGTGACAGGACCCAGGAAAGGCGGGAAGAGTCTGAAGTACACACACCCACCGGGGTCTACTCAAATTAGCTGTAGCTGAACATATGCTCAGAAGCATTGAAACTGCTGGCTTTTTACCCAGCGGTTTCTTTTATCTTGTTTCCTTAACTTTTCTTCTCCCAAGTATTATCTGGCTCCTTATCCAGCTTGCTGATCTCCTTCTCATAGCCAATTGCAAATGTATTCTTTTCTTTCTGTGTCAGGAATCGAACTCAGGACCTTGTACTTGCCAGGCAGGCACTTGTGCCACTGAGCTAGATCCCCAGCCCTTCTTTTTTTTTTTCTTTTTTCCTCAAATGTATTCTTAACAGATCCCTGACTTCCTGGACTCCTATATGAGCTTTGAGGTTGACAAAGGTGTATTTTCCTCTTGATCTGTTTACTTATTTGCTTACCTATTACCTATCAGGAAAAAAATAGAAAATGTGAATATTATGCTTTACTTATAGTTCATTACTGTGCTGTGCCCCAGTGAGTAAAAAATAGCAAGGAAGCAGCTATTGTGAAACTTTAGCAACTGGAAAGTTCATTCTGCCTTTGCTGAGACCTACACTCTCTTGCAGGAACATGATATAGAAACAACTCATGGTGTGGTCCATGTCACTATAAGAGGCTTACCGAAGGGAAACAGACCAGTTATCCTCACGTATCATGACATTGGACTCAACCGTATGTATTTGATTCTACACCCTCTCAGTTTATCATAATACTTACGTTAAAATAACACTTTAAAAAATACATAGTATTTAATAGAGCAGGGGTTTGCCCCTATCTTTACCTTTCTTCATTATTGCTACATTTATTAAATCTTGGGGCTAAAGTTCCTGGTAAGTGTGGAGGGGAATGTGTTGGAGGATAGTGGAGTTATATCTTGCTTTTGTGTCAGACCTGCTGAAGGACAGCAGATTATATAATGAACTAATTAAGAAAGTAGAGCTGAAGTCAGTTTTTTAAAGTGTTCTTGTTTTAGATTAGAAAATCCAGAGTTGAATTTAACTTCGTTGTGTTCACTTCAGTGAATTAGTAAAAGTATTCTTTCTGTACCCTCTCAACAGTAACTTTAAGTGGACTTTTCTAGATGTACAGGTAGAGCATCTCTCACCTAAAAATTTGAAATCCCAAATGATCCAAAATCTGAAATAGTTTGACAAACATGGTGCCCCAAGTGGAAATTCTATACTTGACTTCATGTGACAGGTCACAGTGAATACTGAGGGAACCAAAAATATTGAATTCAATTACCTTCAGGCTGTGTGTGTTAAGTATATATGAAACGTAAGTGAATTTCATCTTTGGACCTGGGATCCCATCCCCAAGACACCTCATGACATAATGCAAATGTCCCAAAGTCCAAAAATACTGATGCCAAGCATTTTGGAGAAGAGAGCCATAACCAGTAGTAAATTATTCAGCTTTAGCCACAGACATGGAGTCTAAGTATTTTTTTCACCCTACCCTGGCTTTACAGAGTTAGAACTTTTGTGGCTGTCTTAGCATGAAAAGGAATTTTAGCTGTTCTGCTAAGGGTCAAAACTGAAGCAGCAGCCCTTTCCAGCACCCTGACAGTTTCAATAAGAGACCAACTCCCTGGCGATGAGTATAAGCTTCTCAGAATATTCCCTCTAGCCAGGTGCATGGAGTGTAGTCAGTGTCTCTTTTTGTTAGATGCAGGAATACAGTACATAAGAAATGATAGCAGTCTGGATAGCAGGTTATTTTGTGCAACACCATAAAACTGCTGGGGATATAGCTCGGCACAGCGCCTTGCTTGGTGAGTGCAAGGTCCTGAGTTCGATTCCGGGTCAAAAAAAAAAAAACAAAACACCACCATAAAACCAATAAACATGCACAAAATGGTTTCCACTTTGGAGACCCTGTGTGGAATTAAGAATTAGTTGTTTTCAAACCATTGAGAGATCTCCTATTCAGCCTTTAGGGAAGCTTGGAGGAGACTGTTCCTTCAAACACCCCACTTAGTGGAATGGTGATTAAAAGGAAGTGAAAAGAAAAATGGTATGGCACTGGCTGAGTAGATGAAAATTGGAGAGACACGGAGAGCCTATGGCTCACAGGTATTCTTGTCTTACAGATAAATCCTGTTTCAACACGTTCTTCAACTTTGAGGATATGCAAGAGATCACTCAGCACTTTGCTGTGTGTCACGTGGATGCCCCAGGCCAGCAGGAAGGGGCGCCTTCTTTCCCGACAGGGTAAGGCCGCAGGCAAGGTCCTGTGGGAGGCAGGCACTCAGATAAGCAATAGCGTGTGCTTCCCTCCCCCTTGCTGTGTCACAGCCACAGGGCAGACTCATCAACCCAGTGACCTCGTGTTTTCTCCCCTTAGTGTCGGAGGACTGTTCTGTACCATTTGTTGCAGGGAGTGACTGCATGTTTTCCCGCATCCGGGATGGCTTTCTGTGGCACAGACCTGCTCCTGTGATCACAGGATAAACGTTGCTTTTCAGTCTTTATCTGGCCTCTTGTCTGCTTTAAATCTGTCATTTTTGTGTCCCTCCCTGAAGCTTCCAACTACATAGGCCCAAACCTGAATCTCTTTGAGCTTCCCTGGGAACACTTCCCACCGTTCCCTCCCAGTGTAGTGCTGGGAATTTGATATCTGCAACCAGTCGTGCTGAGAGCTGCCCTCTCACTGGCCTTGGCACCGTGGTTCATCATAAGCCTCTGCACAGCAGAATCTCAGGTTTTCAAGAGTTCCTGGCCCGTGTGCCTGTTGGGAGGGCCTTGGGAAGCGGAGTGAGAGCACACGCTGGGGAGTGCTCATTCTTCATCTCCCTACTCATTTCAGAGCTGTCTTTAGCCAGTGACTGCTGTGAAAGAGACACTGAGGATAATAGCGAGCACTTGAGCAGACCAAGTAGTGTTCCAGACCCTGCTTTAAATGGTCTGCATCCATTAACTCAGTGCTCACCACCTCATGGGACAGGTTTACTCCTGTTCTCATTTTACAGGTGAGGAAACAGGCCCAGAAAAAGTAGGAACATGGTTAAGTTATGTAACAAGTAGCACAGTTAGGGTTTAACCCAGGCAGTATGGCTGCAAATCTTTGCGGACTCGTTAGTTTCCATGTTGTTCTGTCTGCCTCTCAAAGGCAAATTAGTAGTGATCAGTTAGTACCCAACCAGATTTGGATCCAGTTCCTTTTTCTGCTTGGGGCCAAAATAGAAGACATCCCTTAAAGTGTCAAGGTATAGCAAGCGGAATTCATTGTTGCTTGTAGAAAAGATCTTGTCTCCTATATAGGCAGTCATCTTAAGATCCCATCTCTGATGCTGTCCTCTTTGTGTCTGCTCCCCACTTTCCCTGGATTCCTGCTTTGGGTCTATTTCTGGATGAATTTAGCATCAGATGCTTCATACATGAAAAGCAATGAACAAAATAATCACATTATCCTCTGCCTAAGTGAAACAAATAAGCATTTATGCTGAGGAGCCCCAGATTTGTGACTGTATGCCTAGCCCCAGGAAAGTTTTGTTTGCCTTAGCATTTAACTGCCTAAATATAATCAGCATAAGAAGATCCGCTTCCTGGGTTGACTCTTCCTGCTGGAAATTTACTGAGCCTGTATCCCAACTGAAGTGATCATTAGGGGTTTGGAAATACCATAAGAGAGGGCTACATTGCCAGTTTCTTTGTGACTTCCTCTGTCACATGGGTTCTTCTACTTGCTTTTTAGCGTGGCTCACATAGAGGCACGTCACAGTCACTTCCAGGCTCCACAACACCCCTTTTGAGCCTTTGGTAAAAGGAAATATTTCTCAAGGGCTGGGAATTGTGGGTGCTTTCTAATTCAGGAGGTATCTTTCTAAATTTCAGGTACCAGTACCCTACAATGGATGAGCTGGCTGAAATGCTGCCTCCTGTTCTTACCCACTTAAGGTAGATTCATTCTATAGTCTTCCCTCTTTTTTTTTTTCTTCCTTTCCTCATGGTGCCAAGGAGCAAACTCAGGGTCTTACGCAAGCAAGGCAAGTGCCTTACCATTGAACTACACCCGCAGCCAGTCGCTTTAAAAAAAAAAAAAAAAAAAAAAAATTCTGTGTTTCTGTTGCAGTGGATAAATGATGAGCAAAATAGAATGTTCACTAACTTCATGGAGCTTAGTGGGAGGGTGGGGAAGGACTGGTTAACAAGTAAGCAACAGATAATCACAGTAAAGCACCATAAAAGAAGTGGGGCTGGAAGTATAGCTCTGGTAGGGCTGCTTAACATGCCCAAGACCCTGGATTCAGTTCCCGTGCCAAAACAACAAAAAGAAGTGAGTGGAGCTTTTGCGATAGAGAAATTGGCAGGCTCTGCAGTAATGAGGCTAGCTAGGGAGTGCTTATTTAGGACGGTTTCATATAGGCTGGGAAGATACAGGGGAACGACCTCGGCAGAGTCAGAACAAAAAGATTCCAGAACAAATGGAGGAGAGGGATGAGTGAAAGTTGAGAAATAGACAAGGGCCAGATTATATCATTTAATAGATCAGATGAGAATGTGTAATCATTTTAAGTACAAAGAGAAGACCCTGGAGGATTTTAATCAGAGGAGTGATACATAATTTACTCGTAAAATAACCACGTTAGATGCATCACTAAAACTGTTTAAATTTTTAAAAAATTATTATTCTTGCCAAGTGTGATGGTGCATACCTGTAATCCCAGCACTAGGGAGGCTGAGGCAGGAGGATCTTTGTGAGTTTGAGGCCAGTCTAGGCTACAAAGTGAAGTCAAGACCAGCCTGAACTGCATAGCGAGACCCCTGTCTAAAAAAGACCAAAAAAAAAAAAAGATTATTCTTGGTGTGATAGTTTGGGGGAGTAGTAAGAGAGAAGGTGCGAGGAAACCAGTTAAACTGTTAGGGTAGTCCACCCAAGAGATGATGATAGCTTAGTACTGGCTGTTGTCAGGGATAGATTGAAGTGGTTGTTAATAAACAGAAATATTCTAGTGGTAGACTTCACAGAATTTGCTGGTGGGTTGGATACTGAGGTGAAAAACAGTATAAGCATGACTCCCAGATTGGTCACTTTTCATTTAGTCATTAAAATGAACTTGAAAGTAGTTGGTTATATCCTCGTTTATATACGTGGAGAGCCTTAGAAAGCTGAAAAAAAGTTTGTCCAACCTTTAGCTCTTTGGAAGGCTAAGGGGGAAGGATCACTTCAGCTCAGAAGTTTAAGACCATCCTGGACAACAGAGTGAACCCCCATCTAAAAAAGCAACTTTTGCCGAGCGTGGTGGTGCACACCTGTAATCTCAGCACTCAGGAGGCTGAGGCAGGAGGATGGTTGTGAGTTTGAGACCAGCCTGGGCTACAAAGTGAGTTCAAGGCCGGCCTGAACCGCATAGTGAGGCCTTGTCTCAAAAAGTCAAAAATAAAAAATAAAAGAAATAAAAAAGCAACTTTCTCAAATTCTCGAATCTAGTCAATGTCAGCCAGGATATGAAACCAGGTTGTATTCTTTGTATTCAACACTACCTCCAAGTGAAGTTGACGCTGTCAATTGTTGGACTTTCCTGTTCACAGTCTGAAGAGCATCATTGGGATTGGAGTTGGAGCTGGAGCTTACATCCTCAGCAGATTTGCAGTAAGTGCAAGGAGGATTAATCTCACCCTTGAAGCTCTGCTTCGGTCAGTGCCGTTACTGCTGTGTTAAATGACTAGGCATTCTTTTGGGTCTTGTGTTAAGTTTTTGTGTAGATTCTGTTGCTTCTGATATAGGTTTACATAAAGCCTTGTCTTTGTATAGCATCTGGAACACCACAAATGAGGGCAGTACTGTCTGTGAAAAGGTCTAGATGCAGCTTATGATGGAATTTTGTACAGCCGTTAAAACTAAGCTCAAGAAGAACTTGTAACTACACATAATTTACATTAACTATAAGAAAGAAGTTAGAATATAGATTAGATTCGTATAAAGTTTGTCGTAGGGATAGGAAGGAACTGAAAGGAAATGTACCAGACTGTAACAAGGGCTGGGCATGGAGACACATGCCTGTGATTTCAGCTGCTAGGGAATCTGAGGCAGGAGGATGTCCCATCAAGGTCAGTCTGGGCAACTTAACAGGACCCTGTCTCAAAATGAAAAACCGAAAGGGCTGGGATGTAGCTCAGTGATAGAGCACCCCATGCCCAATCCCCAATACCACAAAATAAAATAAGCCAGGCATGGTGGTGCACACCTATAATCCCAGCAATGGGGAGGCTGAGGCAGGAACTTGCTTCTAGTTCAAGGATAGCTTGCAGTACACATCGAGACCCTGTCTCATGAATGAATCAATAAATAAATTTAATTTTTAAAAATAGATGTGCGGTAAAATAATGTGAGATTTTATCCACACTTCGGTTTATAATTTCTCTATCAAACTCTACTGTAAGCCTAATCAGAGGCAGAAAGGAAGCTGGAGAGTTTTGAGTTTACGTGGAAATGTTCCTATTTTTTGAAAATCCTCCTTGGTAATAAGAGTCTTACGGCCTATTGTGATGGTTTTAGAAGAAAACAGTGAAAGCCCTGTTAGGAACAAAGACGAATGTGAAGCAGCCCGTCCTAAGCTCGAGCAGCACCTGTGCTAAATGAAAGCGAACAATTGCACACGCTCCCCTCTGCTATAAAAGGAAGAAACTTGTCTTCCTTGTAAATGTGTGCAAGGCAAGATCATTTTATAGCAATTTGAGAAGCTCGTTTCCAGATGCTAAGTCAGGTTTCAAGAGCTATTTTCTACATACTCTTCTTAGCGCCTCTCTGTAGTCTTTCCAATGTGAGACATGAAGGTTTTTATAAACCGACTAGCCGCATCCCGGCCGCATTAGAGCTGTGGGAGTGTAACTCTCGTACTGTCATCTCTATTTTCTCTTTCAGCTCAATCATCCAGAGCTTGTGGAAGGCCTTGTGCTCATTAACATTGACCCTTGCGCCAAAGGTTGGATTGACTGGGCAGCTTCCAAAGTAAGTACTATGTGCCAGTGTCCATTGGCCAGTCTCTTGGTTTCTTCTGAAATTCTTTTATCTTTTTTTTTGGTACTGGGAATCAAACTCAGGACCTCCTGCTCGCCAGGCAGGCGCTTGTGCCGCTGAGCTATATCCCCAGCCCCTCTTGGTTTCATCTGAGATCAGATTAACTTTACTTTTCATTGAGGTAGATACACAGTTAATGGCAAAAGATTTAAGTATAGAGCTTGGTGAATTTTAACGTATATAATCATTACCCTGTCAATACGTAGACTGTTTCCAGCTCTCCAGAGGGTTTCCTTATGCTTTTTCTTAGTTGGTAATTCCTCTCCTTCCTGGATATTACTCTCTGTCTTCTATCACCATAGATTAGTCTTATCTGTTCTTAAACTTCATGTAATTAGAGTCAGAATTTTACTTTTCAGTGTGGCTTCTTTCATTTATTATTGTGACTGATGCTCATTCATGTTGTGTGGTGTAACCGTAGTTTGTTTTGGTTTTGGGTTTTTTTTTTTTAGTTTTTTGAGACAGGATCTCACCATGTAGTTCAGGATGGCCTTGAACTCACTGTGTAGTCTAGGCTGGCCTCAAACTCATGGCAGTCCTCCTGCCTCAGCCTCCTAAGTCCTGGAATTATAGGCATGTGCTGCCATGCCCAGCCTGTAGTTCTTTTTAATAGTCTTTCTACAAATTATATTTTGTGGTTGGGCATGTTGGTGCATACCTGTAATCCTTTCTACTCAATAGGCTGAGGAAGGAGACTTGCAGTTTTCAGCCTAGCCTGGACAACTTAGTGAGACCATGTTTCAAAATAAAAGGATTAGGGATGTACCTCAGCGCTCCCTGGGTTCAATCCCCACTACCATATATAGACATAGATAGATAGATAAATGTATACACAATACCCAAAGTGAGTTTCTGTTACTTGGTTGTTACGAACATAGCTGTCATACACATTCTTTGGTCTCTCCATAGACATACCTAGAATTGAAGTTGCTGTATAATAGGGCAGTTGTATGTTTGCTTTAGTGTAGATATTGCCACTTTTCCAAAGCAGTAGGCCAGTTTGCATGCCAGCAGCATATGCAAGTTCCAGTTTATATTCTCACCAACATTTCTTTTTCTTTTTTTTTTTAAGCTTTGTTGAGACAGTTTTACTATGTAGTTCAGGCTGGCCTTGAGCTCACTTTGTAGCCCATGTTGGTCTCGAACTTGCAATGATTCTCCTGCCTCAGCCTCCCAAGTGCTGTGATTACAGGCATGCACCACCATGCCTGGCCTTGTTTCCTATCTGAAAAATGCAGAAATTGGAATTCTAACATCTGTGCCGATAGATAGGAAACTAAGCATATGTGCTAATGACTTCACAAATACAAACAAATCCAATTACTAAACCAGAATAAAAGATAAGAAATAAAGCGTTATGTTATGTCTCTTTGCATTGAACTCACTTGTGCTAAAAATGATTCACTATTTCTAGGTTGGAAAAAGACGCTTCTAAAATATTTCCTTGCTAACATACAAAATATTTGTGTTATTTTAATCTGTCTGATTTTTAGATTAAATCAGTGATGTTTTCATACTGTAAGAAAGCTTTTTTTAAACAAATGCCTGCTTTCTTTTTTTTTGACTAAGGATTAAAGCCAGGGTTTGACCAGACGTAGTGGCTCGTGCCTGTAATCCCTGCACTCAGGAGTCTGAGGCAGGAGGAGTGCCAGGAGTTCAAGGCCAGCCTGGACTACATAGTGAGTTCTAGGCCAACCTGAGCTACATAGTGAGACCCTGTCTCTAAAAACCAAAAAACAAAACCCCAGCTTGTGCATGCTGGGCTAGCACACTGCCGCTGAACTGCATCGCTTGCTGGAGTGAAACTTGGGATCATCCTGCTCAGCCTCTTGAGCAGCCTCTAGGATCACAAGCATGCCTCTAAACCTTCTGTTGTTGTTGTTTGATTTCTTTATTTGTTAGTTTGGTTTTTGGTTTGAGATAGTCTCGCTATGTAGTACAGGCTGGCTTTGAACTCACAGCAATCCTCCTGCCTCAGCCTCCCAAGCGTTGGGACCACAGGCATGTGTGACTATGCCCAGCGATTGTTTGATTATTTTTCCCCCATGCTGGAGAATGAATCCAGGCCCTTACACATGCTAGGCAAGAACCCCCCACCTCCTCGTCTCACCCCTTCTCCCAGTGCTGGAAATTCAACCCAGAGCCTTATGCATGCTAGCCATGCATTCTACCACTGAGCTGCCTCTCTAACACTAGGCAGACCCTCTAAGTACTTTTAAGTTACTGTAAATTTTCTTACATATCATTGAAAGATTATTTAAAAAATCACAACCTAGCATATCACATGTATCAGGAATATTTATTACTACTCAAACCCATAAGATCCAATGATTTGATATCTGAGAAACCAATTTGAAAGATAGTGGATAAAGATTTAAATAGAAGGATAAAGATTTAAATAGAAGGATATTGATTTTTGGTACTTTTTTGTTTGTTTGTTTTTCTTCCAGTACCAGGAATCAAACTCACAACCTTGTGCTTGCCAGGCAGGTGCTTTGCCGCTGAGCTAAATCCCCAGCCCCAGGATATTGATTTTTTAAAGAACACCTATACAGTGCATACTGTGTACCAGGCACTAATCTAAACCTTTTTTTTTTCTGTCTTTTTGAGGCAGGGTCTCACTATGCAGTTCAGGCTAACCTTGAACTGACTTTGTAGCCCAGGCTAGCCTCAAATTCACAGCAGTCCTCCTGCCTCAGCCTCCCACGTGCTAGGATTATAGGTGTGTGTGCCACCACACTCAGCCTTAACCTTTTTATATATATTTAAACTTTTCATTCTCAGGAGAGCCCAGAGAAGTTGGTGTGTTATCCTATAGAGATGTAAGTCATTTGCTTAAGGGTTATATGGCTAGAAAGTCATAGAACCAAGATATTCATTAAATCATTGTTTGTAAGGCAAAAAGACAGAAACAGTTTAAGTGCCAAAGTGCAAGATAACAAAATTTTGATACAACCGTAGAATAGAAAAGTAAACTATCAAACAGTTTTGTTAGCTGGGCAAGGTAGTGCACGCCTGTGATCCCAGCACTTGGGAGGCTGAGGCAGATCACCATGAGTTTGAGGCCAGCTGGGGCTACCTAGTGAGTTCAAGACCAGCCTGAACTACATAGCGAGACCCTGTCTCAAAAAAAAAAAAATTTTTTTTTTATGTTACAGCTGTGTGCAGTGACACATGCCCATAATCTTAACTACTTAGACTAAGGCAGGAAGATAGTAAGTTTGAGGGCAGCATATTAAGACTGTCTCAGGATGTAGCTCAATACCCGCTGCATTCAATCCCTAGTTAAAAAAAAAAAAATGTGTATATATGTACATATTTTTTTTTATTTAAGGAAATGAGAAAAGTCTGTTTTTAAGTGAAAAACTTTATATAAAACCATACAGTATGATCCTAATTTAGTTAAATACATATGCATAAGAAAAGAGAATATAATGTATTATGAGTGATTTTATCTTTGGCTATGAAAATTATACATAAACAATATTTTTCATATTCTCTGTCTAATTTTCTATGATATATGTATATTTTAATTATTTTGAAGTAATCTACCTACCAGCAGACCAAATTCTAAACATTTTGTTCATCCCTTAAGTTCTGGAGAAGTGATGCAATGCTTAGCTTTGGATGAAATATGTTTCGCTATGCAGTTCAGGCTGGCCTAGAAACTCGCTTTGTAGCCAGGCTGGCCTTGAACTCACATTGATCCTCCTGCCTCAGCCTCCTGAGTGTTGGTACTACAGGCGTGTCCCACCACACCTGGTCTGCTTTAGAAATTCTTACAGTGTGATTTATGTAAAATTTGTTCTAATTTCTGTCTGGTGTGTGGTAGATTAATACTTGCCCAAACACTCTCAATTAACATGTAACAACCTGATAAAATTCATATAAAACTTCAGATTTATGAGCACTTACGATGTGTTTATTTGGTTTTTTTGTTGTTTTGTTTTGCTTTTTGCAGTACTAAGGTTTGTTTTTCGCTTTTTTCAGTGCTGGGGATTGAACGTAGGGCCTTGTGTATGTAAGGCAAGAACTCTACCACTGAGCCATGTCCCCAGCCCCTTGGTACTAGGGTTTGAACCCAGGCCTTCACACTAAGTGACACCCCCAGCCCTTTTAAAAAAGAATTTATTTTTATTTTGAAACAAGGTCTTGCTAGGTTGAATTTGGTTTTTAATTCTTATTATCTTTAATTTACAATTTACAGATCCTTGACAACTCTTGCGAAGATCTAAGGATTTCTCTCTACCTTAGTCTTTCTGGGGCTGTAGGATTCTGCTTCACCATGGCCATGTGTGCCTCCCTCACCTCCCCTTCTCCATTCCTACCCGCAACTCAGTACTTCGCCTCTGATCCAAGTGTCAGGAATTTAGCAAGGAAGAAGCTTAAGGGGAATCAGCAACATAATTTGAGGTGGAAGTTTTTCCAAAAATAGCCTAACAGTCTGCAGATTTACAGATTGTTGCATTTATTAGACCATGAGATGCATCATTTTGAAGTGGAAAGAATAAGAAGAATGTTCAAATGTAAGAACATTCTGTAAATATAGCCATTTCCTCCCACTCTCTGAAATAAAGATAGCAAAAACTTTTTTTTATTTTAGTGGGGTTTTTTTGGTGGCTTGAGAGTTGTTGTAAGTTAATTTTTATCCTCTGTCTACTGTAAGTGCAGAAATACAGGCAGAAGTGAAGTAGCAAATAGCTGTGTGTTCTAGGTCTCAATTTCAGTGCCCCCTCTGCCTGTTCCTCCTCCTCTTTTGGTTTTTTTTTTTTTTTTGAAATGAGGTCTTGCTCTATGGCCCAGAGTGGTCTCAGATTCCTGAGCTCAGATAACCCTTCCACTCCAGGCTGCTGTGTAGCTGGGACTGTAGTGCACGCTGCCCTGTCCAGCTCCAGCCCGCTACTGCAAAGCAAGCTCTGTAACAGCCCTGGAAGGGAGACCTCTTTTTCACGCTTTTTTTTTTCTCATGTTTGTTTGAAACCACCATCTCAGGGAAATGTCTACTGTTGAACTGTGGGGTTTTGTTTGTGTTTTGAAGGACGACATATTAGTATACTCACCTTAGACACCTTGATAAGTTTTTACATATGCTAAACTCTTAACACAGCAATTTTATCTTTTTAGCTCTCTGGCTTGACAACCAACGTTGTAGACATTATTTTGGCTCATCATTTTGGGCAGGTAAGTGCCTGTGCAACCAGGAAAGCTGGGTTTATTGTGCATGCAAAGCCTTGTCGTACCTAGGAAAAAAGAGTACTCATAGTTTGCCTAATCCTGGCAGATAATTATGCTTCTAGTGCAGTCTGAGCTGGGTGTGGCCCTGCAAAGGCCAGTCCTACGGGAGAGGCATTAACTGAGGGCCACAAGACTATTGACATGACATTTGGAAAGATGAGAAAAAACGTCTCTCTCCCCACCTGTCCCTTGTAAGTGACATGCCATCTGTTGATGTTAGATAATGTCACGTGCCGCACCAAACATCTTTACAGCCGTCGGGGGGTCTGGGAAAGGCTTTCCGTAGTTATTTCAGAGGGAAAAAAAAGAGAATTGGTGAGAAGTAGGGATTATTTTATCCAACCCCCATGAATGGATGAGGAAACTAAACCCTACAGAAGAAGTGACAGTTGTCATATGGGTGCAGTCCTTTCCACGACACTAGTGACAGATTCTGTAATTGTCGGGTGGAGGAGGGGACTCAACTAGTAGCTGAGGGGGCAGTCTGTTTTTCCAAAGGAGAAGTGAGTTAGGTGACCTGGGAAAGAGTGAGGACATGTGTGCGCAGTGAGGCCAGAGAGCCGTGAGGTCCTGGACTGGAGCCAGAACAGTACAAACAGGGCGATGGGCCCTTGTAGTCTGTGTAGTTAGTTCTAAATATGCCCAAAGGAAAGCGGTAGGTGGGGAGAAAATGAGGATTTATCAAGTACTGATTATTTATGTGTAAGGAGGTCGAATGCTTTAGCTCCACTAACTCTCTTACTTTTCTCCTGATGCCCTCAGCCTAAATTTAAGATAGAGACAACTGCCAGAGATGCAGTTCAGTTTGCCACTGTTCTCCAGATAGTAAATGGTGGAATTGATACTTGAACCCAGGCCTAGGACTGAAGCTATAGCTCCAATGATAGAGCATTTGCATAGCATTTGCATAGCATGTACGTGGACCCGGGTTCTGTCCCCAGCACTGCAAAAAGAACAAGAAAGGGGAAAAAAGGAGTTAACATGAATTCAGGTACAACTCCAAAGTCCATAGTCTTTTTGAGACAGGGTCTCGCTGTGCAGTTCAGGCTGGCCTTGAGCTCACTTTGTAGCCCAGGCTGGTCTCGAACTCACGGTGATCCTCCTACCTTAGTCTCTCGAGTGCTGGGGTTACAGGCATGCACCACCACGCCCAGCCCATAGTCTTTTTTTCTCCATTATTTCATTATACTTTTATAGAAGTTACAAATTCAAGGCTGGGAATATAGCTCAGTGGCACAAGCACCTGCCTTGCAACTGCAAGGTCCTGAGTTCAATTCCCAGTACTTAAAAAAAAAAAAGAAGTTACAAATTCACAATTATTTTAGGATATAGAAGTTCAACAAAGGTTATTACAAAGAATCTGAAATTCACCCCATTATCTGCTTCCTAGAAGCAACTACTTTTTTCTGATTCTTTTATGGCTTGTCTCCATAATGCTTTCTTTAATTGAGATATAACTTACATATAGTATAATGCACAAATCATAAGTCACTCATTAGCCCCCGATCTCAAATAGGATATTTGCTATTCTGTTACCTCCATAGATTTTTTTGTGGCTCATTTGGTTTGAGTTTTGGTAGTGATGGTCCTGAGGATTGAACCTAGGGCTTTCGCATGAGCTATGGCCCCAGCCCATTTTATTTTATTTTATTTTTTTAAAAAAAGGACCTGGGGATATATCTCAGTGTGAAGGCCGTGAGTTGAATCCACAGTACTGAAAATACACTAGCATGCGCGCGCGCACACACACACACACACAAATGAGGAAACTATTTCAGAATAGTTAGATGGGGCCGGGGGTATAGCTCAGTGGCATAAGCGCCTGCTGGCCAAGTGCAAGGTCCTGAGTTCAATCCCTGGTACCAAAAAAAAAGAATAGTTGACCTAAGCTCCCCATAATAAGTTCTTTGGTGCCTTCATCTGACACAGAATATTGCACCAAACCAGGCAGAAGCAAATAGACTTATTCAAACTAGCAATAGATTAGTAGCCCTAAGGCCCCACTACTTTTACCATCGTGGACAGTGGGAGCTGGCTTTTAGAGAAGAAGGACTTTAAGACAGATGTGAGAACAGTGTTCAGGAAGATGGAGTGAGCTGAAAGGCATTTCAGGAATGTTTACATATACCAGTTGAAGTTTGCTTGTTTTTGAGACAGCGTCTCACTATGTAGTTCAGGCTGGCTTTGAACTCACTTTGTAGCTCAGGCAGGCCTCAAATCTCAGTGATCCTCCTTCTTCAAGAAGTGCTGGGATTACAGGTGTGTGCCACAACACCCAGCCTAGAGAAGTTCACTTATGTCTTCTTTTGCTTATCCTAGGAAGAACTGCAGGCCAACCTGGACCTGATTCAAACCTACAGACTGCATATTGCCCAGGATATCAACCAAGAAAACCTACAGCTCTTCCTGGGTTCCTATAATGGGTACAGTAGTTTACCACTCTTTCACTTAGGCATAGACCAGGTCTAAAAAGATAATTGGCCTTTAAGGGAGGAGGCAGGGGAAATAAGCTGCTTCTCCCATTTTTTTCTTATGATGGGATTGGCTTTATGCTATTTCACTAAAATAGGAGCAGGACTTAAAGACAGATGTGAAAACAGCTTTCAGGAAGATTGAGTGAACTGAAAGCCATTTCATTAATGTTAATATACCAGTTGTAGTTTCAAGGTGTTTTCTTCTTCTTCTTCTTTTTTTTTTCCTTGAGATGAGGTCTTGCTTGCTATGTAGTTTAGGCTGGCCTGGACTCAAGATATAGCCCAGGCTGGTCTCCATCTCACGGTGATCCTCCTGCCTCAGCCACCTGAGTGCTGGGATTACAGGCATGCGCCATCATGCCTGGCTTAACATGTTTTCAAACAAAAGGAACCACAATTACATACACCCACAAAAGCACCCAAGTCATGTAAGGAAATGCATGTGGAGAGAGACAAAGGAGAGAAGCCTTGGCCTTGACTTAGTTGCTCTTTGCTGATAGCCTGTCATTAGGCAAGAGTAATGCATAGATGCTGGTCAGTTCTCTGGTTTGTGTATTCCAAAGTACACTGTCCCATTCCCCAGGCCCCCATCACAGCCGGGGTGAGGCGAGAACATTGATTATCTTGAGAACAGCCTTTCCACAGTGCAAATGTTAGCTCTCTCTCACTTTCTGGAAATGTGGAAAAAGACTAAGGAAATGGGTCAGAGTTTGAACTTCGTCTCTAGAGCCTCCTCCCTGTTTTTAGTTGAAATCAGAAAGATAAAGTCCTGTGCTCAACTGTTACAAAGAAAACGCTACCCCCGAGTGAAAATGGTATAAGACATGCCCTTCTCTTAACCAAGGTATTCCTGCAAGCTAGTTGGAAGATAAAGACTTGGGACTTGACAATTTCAGTAGTCTTGCTGTTGAATTTTAAGTTGTATCCTTTTAGCACTCCACCAAGTCCCTTGTTCCTACTCTGTACCGTTCAGGGGCCTCTGAAATGGCTACTCCAGAACGGTGTTCAGGACCACTTCCTTTCTCAGATGTGAAAGAAAGATACTTTTCATATTCCTTGATATGTTTTGGTTTTCAAAGGCATTGATTTCGGCTTTGTTCTTCTAGACGCAGAGACCTGGAAATTGAAAGACCCATCCTAGGCCAAAATGATAACAAATTAAAAACATTAAAGTAAGTCGCCCAGTTTCCCCCTGAATTGCTAAATATCCGAATTGCCTGTCATGACTAATTCATGGTTGTGTGGAGTATGGATGATGTGTGCTGATTTACCAAGTGATACGGCTTCTTCTGCCTCTTCTAGGTGTTCTACTTTACTGGTGGTGGGGGACAATTCACCTGCTGTTGAGGCTGTGGTAAGTGTGCCTGATACTGCAAGGAAGACAGATTCAAATGTAGTAAAATGTCTATAATATTCTGCTGACACAATAGAAACAGTTGTTACTAGCTTTTCAGGGTTTGTTCTTTGTTCTTTGTATACATATTAGAAAATTAAGGCCAGGAGTGGTGGCACACGCCTGTAATCCCAGCACTCGGGAGGCTGAGGCAGAAGGATCATTGCAAGGTTAAGACCAGCCTGGGCTACAAAGGGAGCTCAAGGCCAGCCTGAACTGCAGAGTGAGACCCTGTCTCAAAAAGACAAAAAGACAAAAAAAAAAGAAGGATGGGATAAGGGAGGCCAGTTATGAGCCCATTATCCAGGACAAAGTGTTACCTTTTTAACAGACCTGATTATATTAAATATAAAAGATTTGGGGGCCTTATTATTTCACACTATTGATAGCAATTTTCCATATTATAAAATCAGTATGTCTATATAATATTCAGTCTGTTTGTATGCCCTTATTTACTTAATTTCTCCTGTTGCTTATTTCTGATTTTGTACGACTACTAGTGTTGAACTCCTTTATTAAGTCTTTGACTGATTCTTTATTTCCATGAGGTAAATTTGCAGTAGAATTGGTTCAAAAAAAAAATTTTTTTTTTTGAGATTGAATCTCACTCATGTAGTTCATGCTGGCCTCAAACTTGGAGTGATCCTCCTGCCCTACCCACCCAAATGCTGGGATTACAGGTGTGTACCACCGCGCCTGGCCAAAAACCAGACTTTTGCTTGGTGTGGTGGCACATGCTTGCAATTCCAGATAGGAGGCTGAAGCAAGAATAATTTAGTGAGACCTGTCTTGAAATAAAATAAATTTTTAAAAAAGTCTTAGGAATGTAGTTCAGTGCTAGAGTACAACTCCTGCATGCGCAAGGCCCTGGGTTCAACCCCTTGCATTGCAAAAAAAAATAAAAATAATTTTTTTAAGGATTTTAATACGTTTTGCCAGATTCACGTCCAGAAAAGACACACCAGTGCCTTGCCACCAGCAGTGTTCACATGAAGCTGCCCGTTTCACTGCTCCCTGTCCAGTCCTAAATTTATTTATTCATGTTGCAGTGCTAGGAGCTGAACCCAGAGCTTGACACACGTGAGAAAGGCCTGTGCCACTGAGCTATGTTCCTAGCCTTCAGGATTTTTATTCTAAGCAATTAATTTTATAGGTTAAAAATGATATTCTTGGCTGGGTGTGGTGGCACACCCCTGTAATCCCAGCATTTGGGAAGCTGAAGCAAGAGGATCATCACAAGCTTGAAGTCAGCCCATACTACATAGTGAGACCCTCTTGAAAAACAAAAAAAATGGTATTCTTACCATTTTAATTTGCATTTGTTTGATTACAAATGAAGCAGACAGTTTTCAAATGACTATTATGTCTTTTTTATACCTTGTTCAATTTAACTAAGTATATGTGTATACTTGCTTGATTTTCGGGGAACAACCTTTGCTTCTGCCTATCTAGAACAGAATGTCAAGAAATGAGACTTTTTGGAAAGAGAATTTAATAAAGTAACCAAAAGGCGAGAAGGTTTATGGCTTAGAACAGTGTTTGGGGAGTGAGATAGAGGTAAGGACAGACTATGTTCACATTCCCTGAATTGCCCAGGACCATTCTGTCTGGTGTAAAATACGTGGTGTGGCTTGTCATGGAGACCTATAACCCTCAATTCCCAACTCCCCAAGTCCGAAAAAGTCCTGAAAGGTAATAAAACTGTAGTTATGATTCTATTACTATAGGAGTTTATCAAGGAGTGTTATAGGCTGAGAGTGTAGCTCAGTGGTAGAGTGCTTACCTAGCACATACAAGGCCCTTGGTTCCCTCCCCAGCACTGGAGGCAGGAGTAGGGGCTTACAAAGATTAGGTTAGTCTTTTCTGGTTTAAAATGTAGATAACAGCCAGATGTGGTGGTGCGTGCCAGTAATCCGAGCACTTGGGAGGCTGAGGCAGGAGGATTGCCATGAGTTCAAGGCCAGTCTAAACTGCGTAGTGAGACTTTATCTCAAAAAACAAAATAAAATTTAAAAAAGGAGAGATACATACTACAAAATACATACTAAAAACATTTTTAATAAGCATGTGAACTAAAAACAGGAAAATAGGATTTTAAAAAATATATATTCATGATTAACCAGGCATGGTGGCCTATAATCCCAGCACTTGGAAGACTGAGGCAGGAGGATCACCATGAGTTCAAGGCCAGACTGAGCTACATAAGCAAGTTCTAGGCCAGGCAGAATTATATAGTGAGACCCTGTCTCAAAGAAATCCATAATAATGCTAGGTATTTCTGTAAATCTAAGTTATTGTCTTTTTAAAATTGTGTGGACATGAGCTGGGCATGGTGGTGCATGCCTGTAATCCCAGCACTCGGGAGGCTGAGGCAGGAGGATTGTTGTGAGTTTGAGACCAGCCTGGGCTACAAAGTGAGCTCAAGGCCAGCCTGAACTGCGTAGTGAGACCCTGTCTCAAAAAGACAAAAAAAAAAAAATTGTGTGGACTTAAAGTAACATATTGCAGTTATTTTTCAAAACTATGATTTAAGCCAGGTGTAGTGGTGCGCCCTTGTAGTCTGTACACTTGGGAGGCTGAGGCAGGAGGATCACTGCCAAGTTCAAGGCCAGCCTGGGATACACAGTGAGTTCAAGGCCAGCCTGAACTGCATAGTGAAACCCTGTCTGAAAAAGACAAAAAGCAAAACAAGAACGCCCTCTGATTTAGCCCACAAATAAGGTCTCCTCTTCTTTCTGATTTCCTCACTGCACCATTTATAGAGAATTTCAGGGGCCCTATCTATAGCATAGAGAATATGTTCCTCTTCTAACAGACTTGGCTCCCCTGCTAGAACATTACATCCTGCATTTGGAAGGGCTAGAGGGATATCAACATGTTGAAACGCTAGGAGAAGCTCCACCAGTCCTAGACAGGTTGCAAGCTGTTCTTGCTCAGTTGTTCTTTCAGCATCACTTCTTAGCTTCCCTGGTTGTTTAATGCTATCAAGACTATAAACATTAATATGATAAAGTGCATCAGGGAAGCTGGAGAGGGAGTAGGTGTGTCAAAACCAACAGGTGAACCAGGCAGGGTGGCACATGTCTATATTCTACATTCTTGGAAAGCTGAGGCAGGTTGATTGCAAATGCAAGCCAAGCCTAGGCAACTTAGTGAGACCCAGTTGCAAAATAAAAAGGGCAAAAAAAAAGTGGGGGTCCACTGGGAATGTAGCTCAGTGGGAAGGCCCTCTGTTCAGTCCCCAGTACCACCAACCAATAAGAATTAAAAATTAAAAATTGAGGCTGTGAATGTAGCTCAGTGATGTGCTTGAAAAGTGCAAACTTGGGCTGGGGATGTAGCTCAGCGGCAACAAGTGCTTGCCTGGCAAGCGCAAGGTACTGAGTTCAATTCCCAGTACCAAAAAAAAAGTGCAAACTTGCACATCCATTCTTCCAGGAAATATTTATAACATATCTACTGTATTCTCAATACTGTGCCTGGCAGTTAAGGATCAGCTGCCTATTAATGAACAAGGACTGGATAATTATTTCCAGGCCACTGCTTCATCATTCATCAGTTGGAGTTCTGTCCAGCAGTTTCTCCCCACCCTAAGGGATTTTTGTCTAATTATTTTAACAATTTTTGATGACTTGTGAGAACCAGATCATAACACTTAACACGTTTTTTGAACAATGAGAGACTCTCAAGTCATAATACATAAATAATAATATGCATTACATTTATACTACCAACTTGAACATCATTTTGACCAGCTGGCAACTTGAGTGGAAGCATATCTTTAATTTTGATGACATTTATCTATAAGCCAAATAAAATTGTAGACAAATGCTTAAAAAATCCAAAAATGCAAAAAGAAGGAAAATTTATTGAGCTCAGATAAAACAGCTAGAGGCTGGAGATTTAGCTCACTGGCACAGCACCTGCCTGGCAAGCGTGAGGTCCTAAGCTTGATTCCCAGTAGCAAAAAAAAAAAATTAAAGAAAAAACTGTTTACAAATTGGACACAGACAAATACAAGCAAATACACACAAGACATTTGCTTATAAAATCAGAGTGCACTCAAATATATTTTTGGCCAAATTGAATTATAATAACTTTTACAATTTTAGAAGTTTGTAATTATGAAAAGATGTCAGAATTTTTTGTAGGTCAGTTAGCAGAGATCTCTTACAAGAATTTGGAAGGAATAGAAGCTTTTTATCTGTAATCAACACATAATTTTTGTATTTTATTTTGTCTTAAGAATCCTGGCAACTTTTGTGTCCCTTTCTTGCATGTAGCTTTCAGCTCAGTCATTTCCACACACACTGTCACATACTCAGACCTTCTTTTTTTCTAGTAATATTCTCTCTGTAAGACTTAATATAACTTGGATTGATATTATCACTTACGTAGACTCCCTTCGTTGGTGCCTTTGATTTGTTTTTTGCTGGGGTCACACCCTGCCCTCTTGCTCCTGTGTTGCTATGACAGTGTCCAAATGGTTTCCTGTGGGCTGCTGGTGCTGCAGCCATTTGCGATGCAGGAGCAGAGAAAGGGTGGGCGCGGTGTGCTCCAGGCTGATTGAGGCTCAGAAAGGCAAGCTGTGGCTGTCCATCGGCTCTGGGACATAGGTGCAGTTGCCACTGGGTGCCCCAAGGCAGGGTGCACAGCCCGTTCTCCCCACAGCAGCTGACACAACACAAAGCAGGCATTTGTGTTCCTCCCACCTCCCTTGTCCAGGCCAGGCTCCCGGCTCAGTGGAGCTATTTGGTTCCCGCCTGGCTGGTACCCAGCCCTGTTCCTTCCCCTGCTTGAGGCATCTGTGAGAAGTAGTGAGAGGAGTGGAAAGCAGCAGTTTCTCCCTGTTAAATAACCCTTTCAAGGTCTGTAGAGGTCTACATGGATTTGTGCTGATTTGCTTTTTCCCTAGTTTTGCTCTAAGCTGTTTTCCCACCTTCTCCGGTTTATAAATTCACACTTCCTTTTTCTGGAAACAAAGGACATGTCTTTGATACAAAAATGAGAAACTTTGTCAATTGTGAAAATTTTTTTTTTTTTTGTCTTTTTGAGATAGGGTCTCACTGTGCAGTTCAGGCTGGTCTTAAACTCACTTTGTAGCCCAGGCTGGCCTCAAATTCGCAATGATTCTCCTGCCTCAGCCTCCCCAATGCTGGGATTACAGGAGTGTGCCACCACACTCAGCATTCAATTGTGAAATCTTTACATTTGAACCTTTTGCTTTCAGTAATACAGCAAGCATTTCTATGTACAACAGTTGCTCTCATGAGCCTGTTTTCCCTATGTTTTATACCAGATGAAATCAGTATACCTCTCTTGCTGCTCTTATGAGCCTGTTTGTGCGTGCAACCCAAGGTGTCCTCTCACCTGTGAAATGATGAGTTTCCTCGCACTCTGGTCCCTTCTCAGGCACCAAAATGCCGCATCCAGTGCAGCTCTTGAAACCTCAGAGGGAGGACGGTAGGGGATGAACAAAAATAGTCGGGATGCAGCAAGCTGAGGTCAGGTGGAGCCCCTTCTTCTGATGGGAGAAAGGAATTGCCCAGCACCTGCAGCTCATTTATTTATACAGTCAGCGTATGAATAAGTTCGTGAAGAGTTTAAAGGGAGGGTAGGATCTGTGACAGGAAGAATATCTAATCTTCCACAGAACAGCATGCCTTGGTGGCCTCACGGGGAACAAGAGGGGAATGTCTATAGTATCTCAAGCAAAGGTCAAGTCACTAAGTGTATCAGCTCCCTGAGCTCCGCACATGTCTCATGCAAAGCAGTGGCCTTGTCCTAGATACCTGAGGTACAGATAGCTTTACCCCCAACAAGGATCAATTTTAAAAATCTAGCTTTAGGGGCTCGGGATTTAGCTCAGTGGCATAGCACCTGCCTGGCAAGTGCAAGGTCATGAGTTTGATTCCCAGTTCTGGAAAAAAACCAAATAAATAAACAAACAAACAAATAAATAAATCTACCTTTAGCTGGGCATAGTGGCACACACCTGTAATACCAGCACTCGGAAGGCTGAGGCAGGAGGATTGTTGAGAGTTCAAGGCCATCTTGAGTTGACTGCAAGGCCAGCTTGAACTACTGTAGTGAGACCCTGTCTCAAAAAAAAAAAAAAATCTACCTTTAGAGTTAAGCATATTCTATAGTAAATCAGTGCATTTGTTTATTGCTGTCTGTATTGTCATTCGTATAGAGCAAATCAAAACTCTGGCATTTAGATCATCCCCTTATTTATTTTTGTTTTTGGTTTTTGGTTTTTGGTTTTTCTCCGGTACCAGGAACCGAACTCACAACCTTGCGCTTGCCAGGCAGGCGCTTTTGCCGCTGAGCTAAATCCCCAGCCCCATCCCCTGATTTTAGGAGAGTTTGGTATACCTGTCCATCAGCAGTGCCCAGATTCAAAATTCAGCTGGATTACTGATTCTTTCCTCAGTAATTTTAATTGCTCTCTCACTGGCTTGATGACTCTTCAGTCCGTTTTACTAGCCACTGCTCTCCTAAAGCAACTTAAATCCCATCACCTCAGAAATCTGTGACTTCTTGCCTTCCGTGGTCAGCTCCAGTCTGCCCCAGCCTCAGCTCTGTGCGGTTCTCCCTTCACACTCGCCTCGGTAACCCCACGTGTGCCCTGCGCGTTCCCTGCACGTGCCCTGTGTCTTTCATGTTTTCCCCAAACTCTGCAAGCCTTCAAAATATCTAGTGTTTCTCTATTTATCTGTAGAAATCCTCGTCATCCTTCAAAATTCAGTAGAGTTGGTTGTGAAATTTTTAAATTAATTTCATGTTGCTTTGTGTTATCTATTTTCATCCCACTGGATTCCAAATGTAGAACAGGTTTGATAAACATGTAAAAGGGGAAATCCAGTTGATCTAATTAGCCATAAAACATGGCTGAACTTTTGGAACTAGAGTAGTGGAGCTCAATATTAGAGCACATGCTTACCATGCAGAAGGTGCTGGGATTAATCCCCGGTACCAAAAACAAACAATAAACATTGTTGAACCCAGAGATTATCTTCCCAAACACGAATTAATTATCGTGACTGCTCTGGGAGAAGAGAATCACGGGGAAGTTCAGCTTTAGCCTGGACAGCAAAGATCTGGGTAGAAGACTCAGGGTATAAGGAATGGCAAGCCCTCTCCAGGCCTGGGAAAGGTGTAGAAGGGAGGCAGGAGAGAGGGGCATAGGCCTCAGTCATTAGGGCCAGCTGTGCTGGAAAGGCAGCAGAGAGAGCCCAGGAGAGGGTCACAGTGCAGTACACTTCTGAAAGAAGCAAGGTGACTTTTTCCATGTTATGTAGCCATGGCAAGAGTCTAGATGCAGCATGTGGTTCTTTTTTTTTTTGTCTTTTTGAGACAGGGTCTCGCTATGCAGTTCAGGCTGGCCTTGAGCTCACTTTGTAGCCCAGGCTGGTCTCAAATTCGCAATGATCCTCCTGTCTCAGCCTCCTGAGTGCTGGGATCACAGGTGTGCGCGCCACCACACCCAGCAGCATGTGGTTCTTTAAAAACTACTTATAACAAACAGACAACATGAAGTTAGCCAGACTTTTAGATCTATTCAGAACTATCAGATGTAAAATGTATCACGTGTCTCTCCCATGGTATATTTCGGTAACCTGGTTAGTTCAACCATCACTAAACTAAGTTGTTGATTTTACAAGATTGTTTTTATGCTCTATCTTATTTTCTTACCAATTTGTAAGACTGAGATTTTTTTCTTTTTTTTTTTTAGGTTGAATGTAATTCTCGCCTCAACCCTATAAATACAACTTTGCTAAAGGTAATGTCTTTTCTTTCCTTGCTGAAAACCACTTCAGAGAAAGTTATAGTGCTTCTAATTAATGTTTTCTGTGATAGTTGCCCAGAAAGAAACAAAGTTTCACTTTATGATTCTCTCATTTTCTCCCTTCTTTTATTTATTTATTTATTTATTTATTTATTTATTTTCCAGTACTGGGAATCGAACTCACAACCTCACGCTTGCCAGGCAGTCGCTGTGCTGCTGAGCTAAATCCCCAGCCCCTTTCTCTCTTCTTTTAATCCTTTTTTATTCCTGAATATATTTTCATTGTAGAAAATTGAAAGGTAGAAAATGTGAAGAATAAAATAAAAACATTTGCCAGCCATGGTGTAATTACATGCCTGTAATCCCAGCATTTGAGAGACTGAGGCACCAGGATCACCATAAATTTGAGGCTAGCCTGGCCTACATATTGAGATTATCTCAAAAAAATTTTTTGTTTGTAAACATAATTCTACTAACCAAAGGTAACCTCTGGTAAAATATTGATGTCTTGCCAGATGTGGTGGAACATACCTATTGTAATCTTAGCAACTTAGTATGACCCTATTTTAGAATAAAATTGTAAAAAATGCTACTGATGTATCTCAGTGATGCAGCACTTTCCTGGCAGATGCAAGGCGTTTTCCTATGCTTTATTATTATTATTTTTTTTTTTTGAGGTGGGATCTTCCCAAATTACCCAGGATGAACCCAAATTTATAATCCCCTCCTTTTCTGGTTTTTTTTTTTTTTTGGTTTTTCTCCGGTACCAGGAACCAAACTCATGACCTTGCGCTTGCCAGGCAGGCGCTTTGCCGCTGAGCTAAATCCCCAGCCCCAATCCCCTTCTTTTCTCAGTCTCCCAGAATGCTGCAATCACAGGCTTGTACCTCCACCCTTACCTGTACCTCTGATCTTAATGATATTCAGATGTATAAAAGCCAGGCACACAAATGTAATCCTAGTCTCCTGGAGGCTGAGGCAGGAGGGTGGCAAGTTGGAGCCCACCCTGAGTACTTAGGAAGACCCTGACTCTATTAAAATAAAAAATAAAGGGCTAAGGTGTAGCTCACTGTGAAGGCCCTGGTTTCATTCCCAGGTAACACTGGGGGGAAAAGAAGAGAGGAAAAGAAAAGCTCAGTAGGAGTGCTGGGGGGCTGGGGCTGTAGAGCACTTGCCTAGCATACTTGAGGTCCTGGGCTAGGTTCAATCCCCAGCACCACACAAAAGAGATCAGAGGCCGGGTGTGGTGGCGCATGCTTGTAATCCCAGTACTTGGGAGGCTGAGGCAGGAGGATCTTTGCGAGTTTGAGACCAGCCTGGCTATAAAGTGAGCTCAAGGCCAGCCTGAACTGCATAGTGAGACCCTGTCCCAAAAAGAGCGCCCCCCAGAAAAAAAATCAGAGGATATTTATAACCCCTAGATCTGTTTTCCTCACATTTGTACCATAAGCACTTTTCTACCGTGAAAATCAAATAATAGATGGAAATTCTTTACGTGCTAAATCCTGCTGTACTGGTAAGGAAGCTTCTAAAAGCATGCTATGATAATAATGGATGCATTTTCTTCTCTTAGAGCAAGCAGAGAGTAGTCTTGTACTAAACTGCTAAGGCTGGTATCAAATTTCTTCCCCTTCGATGTATACCCTAGGCAAGAGTTCCAACCTAGTGCTGTCTCTACCTAGCTTTTCCCAGAGTCTGTACTAGCTTGCTTAGGTAGCTGACCTACTTCCTACCTGGACTACTGTAGATTTAAATGCTGATCTTCCCTTTCTTATTGCTCCTTAGAGACCTCTGCCTTCTTCCTTTTTCTCTTTGTAGTGTGCTTGAAGAGAGGCCTTGTCACCCAAAACAGCCCATCCTTTCTAGAAATACACAGTGAGGTTAATGATATGAGGTGGCCAAACTCAAAGTGTTCTATAACACAGAGTAGATAGCTCCTCTGGCTGATTGAACTGATTCTCAAACTATCTGATGGGCATCAGTCTTAGAAATAGTTTCTCCTGATATTCTCATATGGGAACTGTTTTATGGTTCTAGACAGGTTACCACTCCTAAGCTTCTTGAAAATATGCCCTCTGTACCATTTCTATTTATACTGTGTTTGTCAGGTTGGATGTTTGTTTTTCTTCTTTAGAATTTTCAGGGCCCAGGATACAGCTAAGTGGCACAGTGCCTGCCTGGCAAGTACAAAGTCATGAGTTCAATTCCTGGTACCAAATAACAAAGAAAATAAAGATGTTCTTTGTTAACCTAAAACTCCTATGCTTTCTGTGGCATTCCCTTCTCCTAAATAACTGTCCCCATTCAAATAAAATCTCAATGCCAGTGAATTGAACCACAAGATTTATGCCCTTTCTATAAAATGCCAGCGAGGTGGGACACCCCTATAATCCTCACACTCGGGAGGCTGAGGGAGGAGGATTGCTGAGAGTCCAAGGCCAGCATGGGCTACATAGTGAGTTCAAGGCCAGCCTGGACTACATAGCAAGACCCTGGGTCAAAAAGCAAAAGATAAATAGAATGTCAGTTTACCCATTATTGTGATGCACCTGCAATCTCAGCTACTTGGGAAACTGAATCTCACCACTAGCTTATAAAACATAGTGAGATCCTGTGTCAAAATAAAAAAGGGTTGGGGGGTAGATTTAGTGGTAGATTACTTAGGTAGCATGCAAGAGGTCACTTAGGTAGCATGTTCAGAGCATTTCTCTCCTTTTTTTTTTTGTCTTTTTGAGACAGGGTCTCGCTATGCAGTTCAGGCTGACCTTGAGCTCACTTTGTAGCCCTGGCTGGCCTCGAACTCGCAGTAATCCTCCTTCCTCAGCCTCCCCAGTGCTGGGATTACACGCATGCGCCACCACACCTGGCTCCTAGAGCATTCCTCTTAAGACTTGGCTGACTTCACATATTTTTGCTTTTCTAGATGGCAGACTGTGGGGGCCTGCCCCAAGTAGTTCAGGTAAGAAGTTAAAAATAATCATGCAGTTCTACCTGTGTGCCTATCCAAAAGATTAATACCTTCTTATTTTGTTCCCCCAGCCTGGGAAGCTCACCGAGGCCTTCAAGTACTTTTTGCAGGGAATGGGCTACAGTGAGTAGTGCACAACTTTCTGTCTAGAAAAATTTTACGTACAAGGGGATCAGTATAATAGGAGCAGTTTCACACATGGGGGGCCACAACTCCCAGGCCCTAAGCTCTGCGCTAGCCAGCCTTAAACAGAAACCCAAATGTTTGTGGAGCATTCATTTTTGCATATATATATTTAAATGTGACAAGCTAACACTTCTGAAGCATGTACCCTGTGTCAGGCTCTGTGTATGCCTAACCCGACAGGTAAGTTCTATTATCAGTCCCAGTTTATAAAGAGAAACTGAGGCTCAAAGAGGCTAAGCACGTTTCCCAGAGTAGCAGTTAAGCTGCAGAGCCATGATTCAGACGTTGGCAGTCTGGCTACAGAGCACACGTTCTTACCCACTGGAGCTTTGGCGGTCTTGGCCATGCATTGGAAGTTATGCTTTGCATTCCAGCTCATTATGGAGACTCCAGAAGAAAAGGTTCTTAGTGAAATCTGTTCACCGCAGGAAATGAACTTGCGGAGTATTTCATAGCAAGTCCAAGGATATGTCCATACTGTATGCCACTGTCCTGGTCTCGTGTATCGTGAGACCCCTGAGCTTTCTCATTTGTCACAGAAAACCCTCACTTGCTCCACTCTTGGAGTTTTAAGAAGAAAAACCCTTTCACCCAGGTACAGAGCTCTTTACCCAGCAGGGTGATTTTCCTGTCTTTGGTACCAGTGTGGATGCTGGCCAGTGGCGAGCTGACGAGGCAGCTTCCCTGGGCAGCTGGGCCCTGGGTGGAGCCCTGTACCTGCCAGGCGGACCGTGTGTGTCTTGTCTAGAGTGGCTGTGTTGTTCCCATCTGTGAGCCACTACCAACCGGGCCCACGCCCACAGCCTTCTGGCGCACTGGGAGGAGTGGAAGTCCCCTCGTAGCCTGTTCTCGGCCCTTTTCTATGAGACAACTGACCTTGCAGCCTGTTTCTGATCCAGAGCAGGGTAGCTGTACAGAGTGGAGGGGAAGACCGTTGTCTTTGTCTAGATGAGAGAAATGACATTCGGGATGCTACAAAAGCCTCAGGTAGCCTCACCTCCTCTCTGGGACCTTAAAATAAGCTTTCGTCCCTCACTTAGGGATATTCTGTCAGTGTCTAGTAGGCAGCCAAGGTTGCCACTTGGCACTCTTGGGTCACTAACCTGCCTTTTCCTGTGTCCATCCTGCTTCCAGTCCCGTATGTGCAGCTCAGTCACCTCAGCACCGAGTCAGGTACCTTCCTGTGTGCTGGCCCCACCCGCCTCCCAGCCGTGCTCTTCTGGCTGCATTGGCTGTCTGCAGCATGTCCGCGGTTTTCCTGTGCAGTGAGAGCCCGATAGAACGTGGCTCATTGTGCTCCAGAAGGTTTAGCCTACAGGTCCAGCTCTGGTTCCCCAGGAGGAAGAAGGATCAGGTTGTAATCTAGCCCCCTCTGTCATCCTAAGTTCAGGCTCATGGCAGCAGTTGAAACTTGATATACAGGAGCCCTCTCCCACCACCACTTGCTGATCCTCAAGATAGCCCTGACACGAGCATCGAAGGGCAGCCTTGACTGTGAGTGGAAATGTTAGCCTGGGGTCGGGGATATAGCTCAGTGGCACAAGTGCCTACATGGCAAGCACAAGGTCCTGAGTTCGATTCCCGGTACCCCCCTCTGCCCCCACAAGAAAAGAAGTGTTAGCCTGAAGAACTCTGGAGTAGTGGCTGGAGCCTCAGGATAAGCAGGCAGGTTATGCTAAGTAAGGCACTGTCCCAGCCAAGCTGGAAGGCACATAGGACCAAACTAGTGGCAGAACAGGAGTCTGGGTTCAACACCCCCAAGAGGTCTTCCCGTTCCAGGCAGCTCGTGCTTCCCACGGTGTAGAGAAGAGCTTTAGGTCTACCCGCCCTCCCCTCCCTCCCATGCCTTCCTCCTCCTCCCCAGACAGCGAGGGTACCTGTGGACACGGATGGTAGTCTTGTTGTATCGGGCTTGCACTGTGTTTGTGAAATGTCTTCATACTTGTGTGGTTTGTCTTTCTTTTCTTTTGTTCGAGTCCTGCATGCATTGCAGGTTTTGGTGACCTCCGTGGGTTCCCAAAGCCTCCTTCCTAATCACTGTATGATGACGTGGGTACAGCTAACAGGCTGTACTCAGACTCAGGGCTTCCCCTTGTGCTGTAGACTAGAAAGAGCCAAGAGTCCAGCCATACCTGGAGGACTGAAGCAGCCTTGCATATAGTCACGCACCTAGAGCAGATATGCAAAGTGGGGGCGGCTGTGTCTTGTCGTGGGTGTTATCTTAAGTGGTTTGGAAAATCCAAACATAAAGCTTTTGGTAGAACATGTGGATTAGTAGAGCTTGACCAAGGCTCCATCTTCTAGCGCTCTTGGTTCTTTGTTACAGTACCATCTGCTGGCATGACCCGGCTCGCCCGATCACGAACCCACTCCACCTCGAGTAGCATCGGCTCTGGAGAAAGTCCCTTCAGCCGGTCTGTCACCAGCAATCATTCAGATGGAACTCAAGAGTCCTGTGAGTCCCCTGATGCCCTGGACAGACATCACACCATGGAGGTGTCCTGCTAAGCAGATGCTCCTCCCCGGACCATGCAAGGCCATCCTCCTCCAGCCCACCACCCGTACACATTTCATCCGTAGACGGGCCTTCACTGCCCTGACTCATGCATGGCCGCTGAACCTTTCTCTGGTAGCCTGGATTTATCATTCTCTGCCCACCCACCCTTTTTTGTATGTACCGAGACCCACATCCATGCTATTACTGTAACATTCCAACATCTTTAATTGACCTAATTTCCATATCTTCTCTTGCCAGCTTTTTTCTGTGCTCCCTCAACTATGTATCTGATTAAGACCCTTTGCTCCCCAACTCTGTGTGTGTGCGAGCACATGTGTCCGTGTTTGTGTGTGCGTAGTTCTGTAATTTTAGACATGCTTTCTTGTAGTGCTTCTGCAAAAAAAAAAAAGGACAGAAAAGGGACTTTTTTTTGCACTCTCAATGGTGTTTTTTAAGGGAAAGGTACAGAACAGATATCTAGGTGGGATAGGCCACTCGAGTCTCTTCTGGTTCCAGGCTGGTCCACAAGATTTGCAGAATGATTTCTAGAAAGAGCCACACTGAGGAATGCGGAAAACTGTAATTACTGTTTGGACTGCTGATTGAGCTGGTGGTCAGTAGCAAAAGGGTCGGCTTTTACACAGGGAAGTGGGCAAGGGGGCCAGCTACCTCCTTTCCAAATGGCTTCTCGTAGGCAGTCGTATGAATAAGAGGGGAGAAATATAGCCTGCTGGAAGCTCGTGAGCAGTGAGGTTCTGACACACGTAAAGTTTTCTCTGAAGGCGCTGCTCGATTACTAGAATCTCGTAGCACAGGAAGTAGAAAACAAATGCCAGGCGTCCATTTTGCAGAGCAAAATGCTGTCACTACCATCTGCCTGCTGCTTTCCAGACGTGCACATGTCTGCCAGAGGAGCCTCTCAGGTGTGTGGTGGAGAGGGCTTCTCCATCTCTCGGCCCCCAAAAGGGGAGCGGTATGGCCTCAAAGCACGGCACTGGTGCGGAAATGCTTGCGAGGAGAGGAGCAGCCATTGACAGTGTCCTGTTGAGTAGCCGCAGCCGTGATTTCAGCAGACTTAATCGAAGCTAAATTAAATAGATACAGAACCCATTTCTGAGAAAGAGTCTTAATTCTATAAACTCTGGCTTGGAAGAAAGAAGGGGCCAATTTGTAAAGACAGCCCTGTCCCAGGAAAAGTCTTTTCTGCACCCGTCTGCTGTAAGGGAGGGGGTCCCGGCCAGCCAGAGAGGACTACTGGGAGGAGAGGAAAGAGCCACGGAGAGCAGCTGCCACCCAGCAGGAGCCCAGCGACGGGAGCATCTAGCTGTAAGCTCAGGGTTACACAGTTCCCAGTCTTGGGAGAAGACTTTTCACACACATTGTTTTGCTTTGTGCTAAGATAAGGAATGCGTCACTCTGTTAGAGTATGACTTTTTACAAATTATTAAATAAAGCTGTATATGTCTCATTGTTACTTGACTGCTGGTGTTATTTCTCTCAAGCCACTTACTGCGTCTGGGTCAAGGACTGAGTTACTGTATGCTGGCTTTTTTCGTTTTTTTTTTTTTTTTTTTTTTTGAGACAGGGTCTCGCTGTGTAGGTCAGGCTGGCTTCAAACTTGTGGCAATCCTCCTACCTCAGCCTCCCAAGTGTTGGGGTTACAGACATGTACCACCATGCCTGGTGTTCGATGCTGGTTCTGTGCTGTGTATTTTTACATTTGTGATCACCAACCTACTCAGTGACACTGTTTATAAGGACAGAGTGAAACTTCAGGACAATTTGCCCAGAATTATAAGTCAGTGGGGCTAGGGATTTAGCTCAGTGGCACAGGGCCTGCCTGGCAAGCGTGAGGTCGTGAGTTCGATTCCTGGTACTGGAGAAAAAAAAAAACTGAGCTCTTTTGTGAGACCCTATCTCAAAAAGACAAAAAAAAAAAAAGAAAAAAACAAAAACAAGCTGGGCGTGGTGGCGCACCCCTATAATCCCAGCACTCAGGAGGCTGAGGCAGGAGGATCGTTGTGAGTTCGAGACCAGCCAGGGCTACAAAGTGAGCTCAAGGCCAGCCTGAACTGCACAGTGAGACCCTGTCTCAAAAAGACAAAAAAAAGGGAAAAAACAGAATTATAAGTGAGTTCACTCTGAATCCTGGTCGATATGACATGCCCATGTTCCCCTCCCAACAAAACTCGTGCAAAGCTGGGCACAGTGGCACACACCTATAATGCTAGCACTCTAGGCGTTGGAGGTGGGTGGATCTCGAGTTAGAAGCCAGAACAACTTAGAGACTTAACAAGACCCTGACTCAAAATAAAAAATAAAAAAAGCCTGGAAATATAGCTCAGTGTGGAGGCCCTGGGTTCAGTCACTGTTTTAAATTTTTTTTCTTTAAAAATGAATTGTGTGAGCTGGACACGGTGGCACACACCTGTAATCCCAGTATTCAGGAGGCTGAGGCAGGAGGATTGCTGTGAATTTGAGGCCAGCCTGAGTTACAAGGTGAGTTCAAGGCCAACCTGAAGTCCATATTGAATCCCTGTCTCAAAAAGACAAAAAAAAAAAAAATCATGTGAAACCTGACAGTGCTGTTAAAGAAGCAGCTGAACTCTAGGAGTAATGTTCCCCATCTCAGCTCTGCCATTTTATGTGGAGGTGCTAGTTCCTGCCTGCGTGTAATAACCTGCAGCCACTTTTCTAGGTTCCTCCCAGTGGCTGTATTTGTACCTATCAAGAATAATGTGAAAAAAAAAAAAGAATAATGTGAAGAAGCATCATGTCCATTCAGCTTTGAATGATTCCAGGGGTTACTGCTACCATAGATACATCTAGGTTGCTGTGTCCTTGGGAGGTTCTTGTGAAATGACATGGCCCTGTCTATTCTGGTAACAGATATGAAATAAAAGCATGTAATAAATACAGTTACCACTGGGCGTGGTGGTGCACACCTGTAATCCCAGCACTCGGGAGGCTGAGGCAGGAGGATCACTGTGAGTTCAAGGTCAGCCTGAACTGCATAGTGAGACCCTGTCTCAAAAACACACACAAAAAAAGAGACAAAAGAAAACAAAAACTGGTACAGTTACCATGCTGAGGCCTAATACACAATGCCAAAGCTGGAGTTGATAGGATGGCCATGGTTGCTTTTAAAACTTACAGGGTTCTCCAGCCTTCTTGGCCATACTCATATGCTCTCCCCACCTTTGCCTTTGTCTGGAGACAGTCCTCAACTGACTATACTGACTGGTTCTTCCCTCTTCCCTCTTCTGACTTACATTTCCTTCTTCCCATTCAGTAGCCCCCACTCCAAAAAAAGTGGTTCCTTTGTGAGAAGCAGGGAGGTAAACTAAGCCAGACCCGGTGGCACATGCTTGTAATCCCAGCACTCAGGAAACTGAGGCAAGAGGATCACCATGAGTTCAAGGCCAGCCTGAATTACATAGCAAGACCTTGTTTCAAAAAGAGGTTGACTATACAAATGATTATATAAAGCTTTTGTTTTACAGGCAAAGGACATCTCAGGAAATTTCATGTTGATTTGGTTTTGTTTGTTTAAGACAGGATTTTGCATTGTAATTCAGGCTAGCTTCGAACTCACGGCAATCCTCCTGTCTCAGCATCCCAAGTCCTGGGGTTACAGGTGTATACCACCATCACCTAGCTTGAAAAAGTAGTTTCCAGTTCTTTTTTTTGGTGGGGAGGGTGCATTTTAGTATACATAATAATAATGTTCACCGTAGGGAATTTGTACCTGTAAGTTTCCACTTCTTTGAAAATCAGTGTATAACTGGGGGGTGGTGATACAAACCTGTAATCCCAGCACTTGGGAGACTGAGGCAGGAAGATCATTGTGAGTTCAAAGCCAGTCTGGGTTACATAGTGGGTTCAAGGCAGGCCTAAATTACATAGTGGAACCCTGTCTCAAACAAAAAAAGTGCATTTTTATATTTTATTCACCTTTTTGTTGAGTGCCAACCACAAACCAGGCCCTTAGCACCTTATTGACCCATTGAAATACCTGTTATTCCAATTTTATGTATGCAAAAACAGCCCCAGAATTAGTTTATAAATGGTCACAAAGCTAATAATTTGCTGTAAGGGAAGCAGTTTCATCTGCTACACTGAACACTTCTGCGAGCAAATGTGTGGGGATTTCTCCCATACCAAGACTACACAGTCTCCCATTGGACACTACACAGGTGTCCTCCCATTCAGTTACGAGTTTACCAGAAATGAGTGCAAACCCCACAAAACTGCCCCTCCCCCACGTCAGACAACAGTTGGAAGTAGTGGGTCCCCAGGTCACCTGCACTTCTGTCCAAAGTGGCTACAAATTGGGGGTTCCCACAACCCCCTGCTTAGGTGTGAAAATTTGCTGAGATGGCTTAAGAACTCCACGTTTACCAGTTTCCTATAAAGGCTGTAGATGGATAGCTAGATGGAGAGGTACACGCAGTCGGCTCTGTAAGGGTTCCAAGCACGGGAGCTGCTGCTCCCGTGGAGGTGGAGTGCGCCACCCTCTCAGCACGTGAATGTATTCCATCTGAAACTCTGAACCTCGCATGTTAGGATGGAGGCTTCATCATACAGGCATGACTGATCAGTCTCTAGCTCCTCTCCCCTCTCTGAAAGTTCCCAGCTTTTGATCACAGCTTGCTCTTTCTGGTGGCCAGTCTCCACGCAACGGCCCACTGAGAATCGCCTCTGGAACAAAAGACATTCCTATCATTCAGGAGAGTCCAGTGGATTTCGGCGCTCGGTGTCTGAAACTGGATCAGACCAATATTAGAACAAAATATGCTTCTGGCACCCCTGTTCATTAGGAAATCATAGGTTTTAGGGACTCTGGCCTGGAGTCAAGGTGGAAGTTTGATACCGGCAATTAAACCCAGGGTCTTCACACTGGGTCTTCCCAGCCCCTTATTTTTTATTTTATTTAGAAATAGGTTGTCACTAAGTTGCCCCAGGCTGGGCTCAAACTTGTGGTCTTTCTTCCTCAGCCACCCAGAGGGTCAGATACATATTTCTTTATCACAGTGGCAGATGTAGGATTCCAAAATTTCTAATTCTTAGGTGCCACCTCAGTGGGAAAGACATATGGTGGAATTTTTTTTTCTTTTTTTGTACCTTTTTTTATTTTAAAGAGAAAACAAAAACAAAAATAACAAAAACAAATACAAAACAAAACCACAGAAAAGCAATAAAAATGATACAGAATTCCAAAAAGTGTTAGGAAATTAACAATGGTTGTTGTATTACATATTGTTATCTTCAAAGTAGTTGCTCAGATTTTTTTTTTTTAAGATTGAACCCCAGGGGCTGGGGATTTAGCTCAGCGGCAAAAGCGCCTGCCTGGCAAGCGCAAGGTCGTGAGTTCGGTTCCCGGTACCGGAGAAAAAAAACAAACAAAAAAAAAAAAAAAAAAAACAAGATTGAACCCCAGACCTCAAGCATGCTAAGTCCATGCTCTACCACTGAGTTACACCCCCAGGCACTATGGTAGAATTCTTTTAAGAGCAGCTGGACAAGGTGGCATGTGCCTGTAATCCTAGCACTCAGGAGGCTGAGACAGGAGGATCACCATGAGTTTGAAGCTAGCCTGAACTACATAGCAAGACCCTGTCTCAAAACAAAAAAAAAAGACCAGAGAGGATCATTCCCTATATTCTACCTCATTGATGGACTTCACCTAGAGACCAGTCTTTAAAATTTGCCCCTCACATGAGAAGGTGTATGTCAGGGTTGTCTGGAGGCAGGAGTGTGAGTGTGGGGCACACTTAGTTGCCCCCAACAGCCTGAAGAGCTTCCTTGGAGAGGGTGCATCTCCGCTCCGGGTCCTTCAGCTCTGCGTGCCGGGTTCCTTCAGGGCTACAGCTGCCCCAGGAGCAAAGGAGAGGCTTAAGGGACAGTGGGCACAGAGCCTGGGCAGGAACAGCCCTAGCTGGCAAACCACGGGGAAGGCTGGAGAGTCTCAGCTAGGTTCCAGGAATGTTTTAGTGCAGTGGACCGTTTCGTGTTACAGAGCAGCCATCCACAGAGCAGGGTAGACAGCAGGTGCTTTTTTTTTTTTTTTTTTCTTGGAACAGGGTCTTGCTGTGTAGTCTAGGCTGGCCTTGAACTCACTTTGTAGTCCAGGCTGGCCTCAAACTTGCGGCAGTCCTCCTGTTTCAGCCTCCTCCCAAGTGCTGGGATTACAGGTATGCGCCGGGTATGACTATAAATTTTAATGAACTGCAGACAGTGCAGTTCTGTCAGATTGCTTATCCCAGACCAGTGATTCTCAGGGTTGGGTGTGTGGAAGAATCACGTGTGCTTATGGAAACATTCCTGGGCCCTACCCCATGGTGTTCCTGATTCAGTAGATCTGAGATGCAGCCTGAGGATTTGCGTGTCTAACAAATTTCCACAGTATCAGTGGTGAGGCTGCTGGTGTGGGGACCACACTTAGAGAACCACTGTCCATATGTTTTTCTTTTGTGCTACGGATTGAGCCCTAAGCATCTACTAATGAGGTACATGTCAGTCCTCCACCCAGACCTTTATATTCAAGGTGTAGTGTCCATAACAACAACATGGCATGGCCTGGCAGTTTAGAAAGGGAAAATGTTGCCCCTGAGCATGGTGGCACACACCAGTAATCCCTGTACTTGGGAGGCTGAGGCAGAGGATTGCTGAGAGTTTAAGGCAAGCCTGGGCTACATAGTGAGTTTAAGACCAGCCTGAATTACAGAGTGACACCCTGTCTCAAAAGGAGGGGGGAGAATGTGGGGCCAGGCGGGGTGGTACATACTTATAACGATCCTAGCGCTCAGGAGGCTGAGGCAAGAGGATTGCTTCGAGTTTGAGGCCAGCCTGGGCTATGTAGTGAGATCCTGTCTCAACAACAAAAAAAGAAAAGAAAAAAATGGAGGATCTTGAGCCCCACTCAAGATCTTCTGAGTCAGAATCTGTAATTTAACAAGATCCCGGGGCCAGGGATACAGGTCAGTGGCATAAGTGCCTGCCAGGCAAGCACAAGGTCCTGAGTTTGATTCCTGGTACCAAGAACTAAATAAATAAATAAAACAAGATCCCAGAAGTTCCTGTGCAAGAAGGCAAATGCTTCCCAAACATGGCAAAGGAGTCTCCAAGTTTAGATTGCTAGGCTTCCCCTTTGGGAACATAGATTCAGAAGGTAGCAGAAAACCCTAGAAATTGTTAAAATTAAATCTCTCAGGCTGGGGATGTGGCTCAGTGTTGGAGTTCCTGCTTTGCCTGCACAAGGTCCTGGGTTCAATCCCCAGTGCCCCCCCACACACGCACACACAAAAATATCCAGGCCGGGTGTGGTAGTGCACGCCTGTAATCCCAGCACTCGGGAGCATGAGGCAGGAGGATTGCCATGAGTTCAAGACCAGCCTGGGCTACCTAGTGAGTTCAATGCCAGCCTGAACTACAAAGCAAGACTATCTCAACAGAACAAACAAAATATTTCTGGTGATTACTATGGTTAGGTCCAGCAAGAAAACTCCTGTTCATATTCCTTGGTTGTGTTCCTGGGACCAGACCAAGCCACAAAAACCAGAACCATCTCCAGGATCAGGATGAGATAGTAGCTGCTCGCCTCAGAAACAGGAACTTGGGCAAGGTGGCTCCTCGGTCCCCTGTGACGCCGTCAGAGGAAGCGGGTGGTTGTGAGAACCACAGAGTCTACAGAAGCCGGCACTCCAAGAACCTGCGCCTGCGTGCCTGGCAGCGCTCAGGGCCCTGACCCTTCTGCCCTGGCTGGCTGTGCTGGGAAGGTTCCCAGTCGGAGCCTGCTAAGGGGCACAGGGCTTCTGTCCCAAGCCCAGTGTACAAACTGCCGACCACAGACATGCTGAGCTTCCCAAGCCGACTTCAAGAGCCTCTCTGAAGATCATCCAGAAGGCCCTAACGCGTCCAGCTGAGCCGTGCGTTTTAGCTGAGTGTCGTCCCCGAGCCTCTGATGACAAGAGACCGGTAAGTCCACTTGCTTCTGTTTTCTGAGGGGCTTGGGAGAGGTGAGGAGTGGTCCCCCCCGCCCCCGAGGATGGCTGTGGGCTTTATTTACTGGTTATAGTATCGTCTCTGATGACACTGCCAGCTGTAGTCTGTCCTTCTTTCAAAAGGGTGAGAGCGTCAGTTGAAAGAGGGAAAGGTGGCCGCAAGTGTTGCTCAGTGGGGCCGTGGGTAGTTTCCACCTCCAATAAACAAATAGAAAAAGAGAGAGGCCTCCTTTTAGCTCAATCCTTTTAGCTCCGCTCTTACCTAAACACTGGAAATGACCTTCACAGAAGAGCAGGTCATAGTCCCTGCTCAGCACAAGCTCCTTGGGGGCCTTGGGCCTTGGCTCTGAAATGGGATTCAACTGAGATAGTTAAAAAAAGAAAGAAAAAAAATAAGAGTCGAGCCCAGCACAGTGGCACAAGCATAGAATCCTAGCTACTCAGGAAGCTGAGGCCAGTTGGGCTACACAGTGAGACACTCTCAAATTAAATGAACGTGGGAAGAAAGGTTTGTGCTCATATTGTAGGGACAATTAATTTGTTTTATTTTTTTCCTCTTTAAAATGAAAAAATAAAAAAATGATGAATGAACAGAGCTGGGAATGTAGCTCAGTGGAAAAGCACCAGCACCGCAAAAAAGGGGAAAAGTGTCATTCTGGGTGGTGTGCTGATCTCAGCTGCTTTTTGCTAACTCTTTCCTACCACCCACTTGTCCAGGTCCCCTAGAAAGTGCCTAGCACGTAGTAAATTGATCAGATACGAGTGTGGTTAATGATCAGGTTTTCTTGTAAGTGTTGCAGCCTTACGGTTCCCGCTAGGCCTGCCCTGCAGCTGCCTGGTCTCCACGTTGCCCCGGAGGCTTCCTGGCCGTCACCTTACCGGTGGAGAAAGCCACAGAGTCCTAGGGAGGCACCCGCGTGAGCTCAGCTCCCCTTTCTCCCTGGCCGCCGCCCTGCCCCACCTGCGTCCCTGAGTTTGCCGCAGTTGATGACTGTGGTTTCGCCCAAGGAGAAAGGAAACAGCCTATTGACACCTGCTGTGTATCAGGCTTCTTGAATTCTCCCCACAACCCTGTGAAGTCCGTAATGCGCTCCCCAGTTCACAGGTGGGGCTCAGAAAGTTCACAGGCTTTGCCTGGGCTGGAGCTAAGCTGATCGCCCAAGGCAGATGGAAAACGAGGAGTTTGGTCTGTGCCTTGTACACAAGGACAGGCAGGGACACGGCAACTGTTGACAGCCCAAGCCGGGGTGCCCACAAGAGCGGCGGCACCAGCTCACAGACCAAGGCTGCCGGACGTAGAAAAGGCCGAGCTGGAAGTGGCTGTCAACAACTAGTTTTTGAGTGACAGCCCTATTTCATGTAAAAGAGCCCCTGTCCCCGGGAATATCGAACTCCCCGTGGAGAGCAGCAGCAAACAGGTACTGTTCTTCCCAGTGACGACGACGGGGCCTGGAGGACAGAGAGGGCAGGGGCCTGACACAGAGAGAGGTGTCCCGGCCTCTAGGAGGCTGTGGAAGTCACCACATGAAACTGATGGACATGGCAAGTATCAGTCAGGCAGTACGGGGCTCAAAGGCAGGGAAGGAGCCACTGTGTCGGCCACGTGTCACCACACCGGTCTGAGTTCTCCCCAGGCCCCCTTCCATAGCGGGTGCCTGGCACACAGCAGAGCTCCATAAACGCCAGCCAAGTGGAAGCCCACTGAAGAGAGTGAAGCCATGTGAGAAGTACAGATCTCACCCGCCACCCGCCACACTGATAGAGTGTTTGAAAAAACCAGCACTGGGGCCGGGGATATAGCTCAGTGGCACAAATGCCTGCCTGGCAAGTGCAAGTTTGATTCCCGGAAAAAAAAAAAAAAAAAAAAAGACAAAAGAAAAACACAGCACCATTTAGAAACCTGGGGCTTGAGATCACTCTGCCGACAAGCCCCTGTGAAAGCGCTAAGGGCCTCCTGCCCACTTGTCGCTGAGTGTGAGGGCCTTCTGTGGCGCTTCCCTCAGTACCACAGAAAGGGCTGCTGGGCCCTGGCTGATGGCAGACTAAGAGAACTGGAATAAACGAGGACATGATTACCATGGGAAGGGAGGCAACAGGGACAGCGGAAGGGGAGGCTCCTCGAGGGGGGAGCCACGGAGAAGAGACGAGCAGCAAGGGAAAGGAAATGTGGGCCCAGGCTGGCAGCCTTTCTTGGGGCATTTCCTCCAAGATATGCACCAGGGGAAGAGGCGCCCAGAGGGGAACTGACCCAGCAGCCGGGCCCCAGAGCCTTGCAATCATCACCATGTGGTGCAGCCTCCCACCAGCCTCACTCTGCCCGAGACAGCGATAACTGTTCCAGGTCAGCTCTGCTTGTGGTGACACCAGGCCCACACCTCCTCCCTCCCTCTCGCTCACCTCTGACCCTAGGTGTGTCCGGAGTGAGCTCCTCTCCTGGCCTGGTCCCCTGCTACCCAGTGGGGAAAGGGGAGCCCAGGGGTAGGGGCAAGGGGAAGTAGAAAGGAGGGTGTGTTACGTTATATACGTGTGCCGACTCCCCAAGATGAATATAATCTTTGTTTACTGTGAGCATGTACTAATGCAAATAAAAATTTTAAAATAAAATAAAGACCTCAGGTCAGAGAAATGGTTAAGTGGGCCACAGGAATTTAAGGGAGGATCAGAAAAGGCAGAAGATTCAAGAAAAACTTCCTGGGGTGGGGTGGGGTGGGGTGGGCAGGACCAGCCCATGGATGGTACACTGGCAAAGACCCAGAAACAAAGAATCGAGCAACATAGGAAAGATGGGATGCAGTGGCACACGCCTCTAAGCCCAGCAGTTTGAAAGGCTGAGGCAGGGAGATCACAAGTTCGAGCCCAGCCTGAGCTGCACAGTGAGATCCTGTCTCAAAATAAAAAATAAAAAGGGCTGGGGATGTAGCTCTGTGCCAAGGCCGTGTGTTCAATCCCTTATACCACACGCACAAAGAAAAAGATGAAGAAAAAACAGTATCAGTGTCCAGTTCGCAGGGGCAGAAGGCTGGTCCTAAGGGAAGGGGTCATTGAGGCATTCGGGCCAAGCTGAAGAGTGACAGGTGTCTGGGGCCAGACTAGAAAGCACAGGCTCTGTCCTCATGCCAGCTTCTCTTTCAGATTCCTCTCGGCAATGTGCTTCTGAGAGTTCTGCTGAGGAATGATGGGAAGTCTGCCCAGCAGAAGGAAAACACTGCCAAGCCCAAGCGTGGGCCCCTGTGTCCCAGGCCAGGGACCTGGGCCCTTGCAAGCAGGTAGGTCCTCCCCACAAGGCTGCAGGTACCAGTGTTCACCCTTCCCTGACCAGGATCAGTGAGTCCCTGAGGTATGTCAGATCCTTCCCAGTGAGCCATGCAGGCAGGATCCCTGCTCCTGAAGAGTTTATGTTAGTAGAAGAATATTAGCCAGCCAGGTAGAGGAGAAAATAGGAAGGGCTAGAGTTGTAGCTCAGTGGTAATTTTCCTCATGTGTGCAAAACCCGGGGTTTAATACCCAGCACCACAAAAACAAAAAAACAAAACAACAAAAACCCACTTCCTCAGTCACACCACCCCATTTCAAATGTTCAGTAGCCAGATATAGCTATGTATTGTATATATTGGAAAGCACAGAATTGTAGAACATTTCCACCACCGCAGAAAGTCCTCCTGGATTTAAACCAGGCCCCTCTTTTATTTTTATTTTGGTTTGATTTTTTGACACAGGAGGTCAACATGCTATCCTCCTGCCTCAGCCTCCTGAGTGTTGGTGTTACAGGTATGCACCACCACAGTTAGTTTAAGGCTTTCTTAATGGTGGAAACAACAACAACAACAACAGTGAAAAGCAGTGCATGTGCTGAGCCTTTAACCATGGTTTTCTAAGATAGTCCCAACTAAAAATCTCAGTTTCCCAGGTTTGGTGGCACACGCCTATAATCCCAGCACTCAGGAGGCTGAGGCAGAGGATTGCCACGAGTTTGAGGCCAGCCTGGACTACACAGTGAGACCTTGTCTCAAAAAAAAAAATTCCTTGTTCTTACCTTGGCGAGAACGCAATAGGCCACCCTGAACTGCATAGTGAAACCTTGTCTCAAAAAGACCGGGGAAAAAACAAACAAACAAACAAAAATAGTCCAGAAAATCTTTTTTCAAATTACATTTTGTTTGTTTGTTTTTGTTTTTCTCCGGTACCGGGAACTGAACTCACGACCTTATGCTTGCGAGGCAGGCGCTTTTGCCGCTGAGCTAAATCCCTAGCCCCTCAAATTACATCTTGATTCAGGATTTGGCTAATGCATTGGGATTCTTCATAGATATAGAACCAGTAGGACACCAGGGGAGTTGGTTTATTGTAAGAAATTGGCTCTTCTGAGTGTGGGGCTCATTGGTCTGAAGTCTGCCAGGAGGCTGGGTCCCTGGGGCTGAGTCACCATTGTGTGGGTCCAGTGACAACCTGCAGAGTTCCCTCTTCCTCAAAGCACCTCAGTCTTCTCATAGGATAAGGATAAGGCCTTCTTGCCTTCTTCAAGCTACAAATTTAAGAGTTAACCTCATCTAAAATGACAAGTTCATGATATCTAAACTGGTGTTTGACCAAATATTATCTGGGTTCTGTGGCTAGGCCATGATGACCATAACATCCTAGATAACAAGATCCCTCTAAGCCAAGCAGCACTTCTGGGACGAGGATGTGGGCAATTAACCTGCACTACAGGGGCTGGGGATATAGCTCCGTGGCACAAGTGCCTGCCTGGCAAGCACAAGGTTGTGAGTTCGATTCCTGGTACCAAAAAAACCAAAACAACTGCACTACAGACTGTGCTGCCAAGATGTCTGGGTGTATGGGTCTGGGCAGGAGCTGTCCCCAACCTGAATATTCTCCTGCAGAAGCAGGTGTCCCCACCTTTTCCTGTGCCCGAGCCCCATATTTCCCTAATACCAGTTTCTCCCAGGACCCTTGGTACCCTGGGCCCTGTTGCCACCTGTAGAGGAAGCAGCTGGCTCCTGCAGCCACCACACCTGCGCTGAGAGCCCCTGCAAGAAGAGCCTGGGAAACCACACAGACCTCCACCTTGGTTTCCTCTGAATCCGGCAGAGCCAGCGGTCCTGAGGCTGCTCTGAGTCAGGCCCAGCGCTGCAGAAGGTGGCCTCCCCGGGCAGATCTGCCTTGGCTCGGCAGGAGGATGAGTGTGGGGCAACCCTGTCCAGGAGCCAGCTGTCCTTCACCTTGAGGCCAGCTTCAGCCTACTGAGGCTCTACCCTGTTCCGGGTCATGTCATAGGACCTGGGGACACAGCAGTAGATAAAACAGGCACGGTCCCTGCCTTCAGGGACTCTCAAGCCCCACAGACAGGTATAAGCCAGCAACCAACGCCAGTGTGTTAGCTGTGGTGACAGTGTGTTTAAAGGGACTCGGAGAATGCAAAAGGGGGAGTCAGGCAGGCGTTCCATGAAGGGTGAAGATGAGCCAGTCAGTGGGAACCACTCAGGGAGACTTGCCTCTAGGGGTGCAAGGCCAGGACTTTCAGGAGGGCAAGGGGCCTTTCCAGGCCTCTTTCTTCCTCCATTATCAGGAAGTGACCTTGGCAAGACTTGCATCGTTTATTCAAGCACCAGGCATTTCCTTGTGTGGTGGGCCTGGCCTTAGACCGCAAAGAGGGCTTGGAGAAGGAGAGCACCTGGGCTCTGAGACACACCCCCAGTGCACGTCCAGGCGTCTCTGCGCATGTCCAGGCGATGTGTGGGAACAGGGTTCTTTTCCTGACTCAGTCTCACTCTTCGCATGTCCACCCACAGCGAAGACCCTCCAGCCTCCACCCAACCCTGGGTCCTTGTCTGTCAGTGGGAGCCCCTGGGAGATACATAAACTTTTCTCACTAACCTTGACTGCTGCTGGTAATGTAATGCATTCCCGTGCTAACCAGTCTCTCTTTTAGGAATCCTTCTGAAAAAGATCAGAAGGAAGGAGAGAGAGGATGGGGTGTGGGTGAAGTGGTATTCAGCAGCCACTGAAGGCAGGTTTCAGCCCAGAGGGCCCTACGGGTAGAGGGACGACTTGTGGGTCTGGGCAGGCTGATTTCGGAGGTAGGTGGGGAGGCGAGTCCTGTGCTGCCAGACCTGCTGGCCACCTGATCCCCACCCCAGAACTGGGTCACACAATCACCATGTCCTCAGGACTGCTCCGTGTGGCTCGGGCCCTAGTCTCTCTCAGTGCCCTTGCTTCCCACACTGACTGCCCCGTCAGGGCCTCAGGACCACAGTACCCAGCAGGGGTGACTAGAGACAACTACCTGGGGTGGTGGTGAGGGCTGGGTAAGATGCCCAAGGCCCGAGGCAGGGACTGACATGCAGGTCCTTCAGCGAGAGATGGCAAGGTGAAGGGTGGGCCCTTGATGGACCACACACTGGGGACATCTGCTCTGGGCCAGGACTAGAACGAGAGCCTTCTACAGGGGCAGCACAGACCTCCACCCACTGTCCTGGATAGAGGCCATGGGAACGCCACTCTGCCCCTTGCACAATGCTCTAGAGTTACAAAACCCATGGTGTCACAGGCCCCTCTAGGAGCCTAGAAAGGAAACCCCCCATGAGGCATAAGGAGAAACCCCAGGCCAGGACTGAGGGGAGCACATTAGCTGAGGTCATTTCCAGCCTCCAGGGTCTTCCTCTCCCCTGTCCCAACAGCGCGTGCTCAGGTGGGGTTTCCCAGGGCCAGCTGTTCACCTTTCCGGGCCTCCTTCCGCAGCCTTCCGAGCTACTACAACCCCATTAACACTCAGAAACTGAGTTCATGTCCAAACTGATCCCTGCTCAGAGCCATAGGTTTTTTGTTTTTGTTTTTGCTTTTATTTTATTTGTTGTATTTGTTTTTTATTTATTTTGCTAAAGATTGAACTCAAGGCCTCCCATATCCTGGGAAAACCCACTACCACTGAGCTGTAGCCCCCAAGCTATAGGTTTTAAGTCTCCACACCGCAGAACCCCTTCCTCAAAGCCTCTGTGAAGGCCGGGAATGGTGGCACGCACCTGTAACCCCAGCACTTGGGAGGCGACGCAGGAGGATTGCTGTGAGTTTGAGGCCAGCCTGGACCACAAAGCGAGATCCTGTCTCCAAAAAAAAAGCAAAAGAAACCCCCCGCAAAAAAACTCTGTGAAAAGTTCTGCATAAAAAGGGGTCATAGCCAGGACTTTCAGGAGGGGAAGGGGCCCTTCCAGGCCCTTTCGTCCCACCACTACTGGAAAGTGACCCCAATAAGACTTCCATTCTTCTTGCCACATGAGCTTGAGGCTTCCACAGGGATCCCACAAGCTGTCTGGGTGTCCTGGGCTCTGCAGAGCCTGCTGGAAGAGCTTCCAACTCCAGGGCGGCCTCCCTCCAAGATCCCTGTGGGAGAAGAGGGAAGGACGGCACAAGACTTCACATCCGCAGCCAAGGCTGGCCGAGAGGGTGACTGTCTCTGTCCCTTCATCTAGAGAGGTGTAAGGCCACAGCAGTGGCCCTGGGCAGTTTCCCGGCAGGCGGGCAGGCTGAGCTGTCTCTGAGACTGGGAGAACCACTGAGCATCATCTCTGAGTAAGTGCGGGGCATCTGAAGGTGCACTGATGGGTCCACGGCCATACATCCTGAACACTCCTGACCCTGTCTTAAGGTGCACTGGCAGGAAGGGGTCTCAGCAGAAAAGCACAAGGCATTTGTGGAAGCACTCACAGGACTGTGACCCCCTGGTGGGTCACAGCTACAGGGAGAGGAAGTGGGATTAGGCCCCTGACCCTTGCCATCTGCACCCCTTGGCCAGGAGGAACCCGGAGCAAGGAAGCCTGGGAAACAGGTGATTGCAGGTTCCAGCCTGAGGGAATCCTTGTGAACTCCAAGGGCGCAGTTCCCAGGGCCTTGACTCTTTTGAAGGAGGTGCCCTTCTGCTTTCTCTCTCCAGGGATGGAGACTGGTGGACCGTGCTGTCACAAATCTCAGGCAGAGAGTACAGAGTTCCCAGCGTGCATGTGGCCAAAATCTCCCACGGGTGAGTGCCCACCCACGGCCAGCATTTTGGACCTTCCTGTCTGCTGTCCTCCCAAGCATTCTCCATTATGCTTTGCCTAGCACTGGGCAAAGCTGGGGGTTAAGGAGAATCAGGCCTCACCCTGCCCTTCAGAGAAGCAGATAACAACCATTTCTAGCACAGATTGTCCCCTGCACACAAAGGAGATGTCCTGGTCTGAGTTTGGAGGGTGGCTGGGAGCTGGTGGAGAACTCTGAGCGGGACATGTGGGAGACAGGTACAGTCTGTGTAGTATCTTTAGCGAAGAAAACAGAGGAGCAGTTGTTGGAAAAGTGAAGGCTTGAAAAGGTGGGTGGACAGAGGTGTTGGGGAGGCTGAGCAGAGCTAGGAAAGGCTGGGATCGCTCTGAAGGCCCCTTGGGAATGAGGTCTCAGGCAGAAAACAGTCTGACCCCATGAGGTCATCCTCCTGGGTTCTTAGAGCCCCAGAGCGGAGGGGCCTGCTCTTTAGGGTGTAGACAGCAAGGGAGGGAGGGCTTTGTCAAGGCCACACATAGCAAGGCAGGGGTTCTAGTAAAGTCCCACCTTGCCCCCAGGCCAACCCTGTCCCTTTGCATTGCTCCTCCAGGTGGCTGTACGAGGGCCTGAGCCGGGAGAAGGCAGAGGAACTGCTGCTGCTGCCTGGAAACTCTGGAGGGGCCTTCCTCATCCGGGAGAGCCAGAGCCGGAGAGGTGGGTGAGCCGAGCCCCAGCCCAGGCCTTCTTCTCATGGCCTCAGCCTAGCAGCCACAGAGAGCAGGCTGTCCCTTACTCCTTGTTACTCAGTAAGCCAAGATTTCTTTTTTTTTCTTTCTTTTTTGTTTTTTTTCCAGTACCGGGAACTGAACTCACGACCTTGCGCTTGCCAGGCGGGCGCTGTGCCGTGAGCTAAATCCCCAGCCCCAAGCCAAGATTACTATGGGATCCCGTGAGGCTCAGGGAGGGGGAGCTGGGGACAGGCCATAATGGAAGGAGCAAGGCAGCTGACTGGGGGGTAGTGAAGGAGGCTTTGCGCAGCAGCACAGGCTGCGAGGTGCGGTGGTTCTGGCGTGGGGAGTGAGCTGCCTTTGCAGGACCGGTTAGGAGGAGCAGCAGCACCGTTGTCCAGGTCCGGGATACCAGGCAGGGAGCTTGCAGTTTCTCCCCGAGGTGGTGGGAGCTGGTGCTCGGCAGAGATAGGTTCGCACTGCAGCAGGACAGTGACTGTGCTTTGTGGGCCACCTGCTTAGAGACGGAGGGGAAGGAATGGACGGTTTGGGGGGCACTGAGAATTGTATCCTCTGATACTAAAATCTTTGTGACACTGGAAGTTACAATCTGTGTTCTCTCAGGACTTCTGAGGGTTTTGCCTTCGTCTAAGTGAGCATTTCCGAAATGCTTTTGAACACAGGAACTTTTCACCATACAGCACCTAGGACTAGGCCCCCACATTCATTCTCTCAGCAAATGCTTCTCAAGCTCCAGCCGTGTGGGGACGCTTCAGAGAGGGAGAGAGCCTGCTGTATGTGCCAGCCTTCCTCTCCCCAAGGGAGTCAGGTGGACATGAGTCTCGCTCGAGGAGCCCCCAGGTCACTGGAAGCCAGTGTTTCATGGCACACACTTTGGGAAACAGCTCCATTGGAGACTTGGTATCATGCCAGTGCTTGTGCCCCAGATGCCAGGAGCCAAATGTGGTATGACTTGCAGGTAGGGGTAGGGAGGGCAGATGTGAAGAAGGCCAGGGTACCTAGCCTTGGAGCCAGCCTGGGTGGCCTTTGACCGCCATGTTGCTTCCAGGACAGCCCATCAACAATAGCGTAATAATCTACATTTCTAAAAGCGGGGAGTTGGGCTTGGGGTGTAGCTAAGTGACAGAGCACTTGCCTAGTGTGTGTAAAGCCCTGGGCTCAATTCCCAGTACCACAAAACACGTAATAAAAGTGGGAATGAATGGCCTACAGCAGGGATCCAGGCCTATTCAACACTTGGGCAACTGGTCTTAGATTGGCAGCATTCCCCTACCCTAACCAAGGATTCCTTCCTCCCTGCGCTATAACAGGATCCTGAGCTCTTGGCAAAATGTTCATCTTGCTCCCTAAGACAGACCTCAGAGGGGAGTAATGGGGGAATTTCAAACAGCACCGGCTTAGGGAAGAGGCACCGAGGACAGAAGGCGGATCTCCTGTGCCTGCCCTAAAGTGGGCTCACTGTGCTGAACTGGCAGGGTCCTCAGCTCTCCACCTAGGCCCCCTGCCTTACCCCATCCAGCCTCATTTTGCCCCGCTTCCCCTTCCCTTTGGAGCAACCAGAATGGACCTCTCCCCAGCCCTTCCTGCTCATTTCCAGACAGCCCTGGCACCTCTGCTGTCACAGAGGCCCGTGTATCTGTCGGCCGGGAGAAGGGGCGCTGGCCCCCGTGCAGCAGCTGCAAACAGGAAACCACAGCAGCGATACTGACTGGGACAGGGGCCCTGCACACCGACCAGCTAGCTGGAGAAGCCACAGGAAGTAGTCAGTGCTCAGATGGCTCACCCCACCCCTCCTCTGGCCTGGCTTAGCCCTGAGTCTAGTGACCGGCCCTTGTTCCCACTGTGCCCTTTTCCAAGGAAGACACATGCACAAGGGGAAGCTGGGTGTGGTGGTGCACACCTGTAATCCCAGCACTCAGGAGGCTGAGGCAGGAGAATTGCCATGAGTTCAAGGCAAGCCTGAGCTACAAAGTGAAATACATAGCAAGATATTATCCCCCCAAAAAAAACAAAACAAAAAAAAATTTAAATGATTTTAAGGATCCACATAATTTCTGGGATTAAGGTCCCCATGGCTAACACCAAAAGGGGACAGATCAGAATGTATCTCTTTTTTTTTTTTATTTTTTTTATTTTTTGGTTTTTCTCCGGTACCAGGAACCGAACTCACGACCTTGCGCTTGCCAGGCAGGCGCTTTGCCGCTGAGCTAAATCCCCAGCCCCTCTTTTTAAAAGGGGAAGACACATGCCAGTTCTCTAGGAAAGGTAGATATTTCCCTGGTGCTGAATGTAGTCTCCCCCTAGAGGCTTCCTTTTGAGCGGTGTTTAACACATTCTTGCCAGGTGTGTGGTGGTACTGCCCAGTGGAAACGTTAAACTGTAGGCTATGACCCAGCATGGTCAAGAAATACATTCAGTTCAGTTTAGTTCCCTGTGGTTCTCAATCTAGGTGTGCATCAGAGTCATCTAGACTTGTAAAAATAAAGACAACAGCCAGGCATGAGGGTGCACACCTGTAATCCTAGCATTTGGGAAGCTGATGCAGAAGGATTGCCAAGAGTTCAAGGCCAGCGTGGACTATAGAGTGAATTCAAGGCCTGCCCAAATACATGGTAAGAACCTGTCTCAAAAAAGAAACAGCTGGGTGCAGTGGTGCATGCCTATAATCCCAGCACTCTGGGAGGCTGAGGCAGGAGGATCACTGTGAGTTTGAGGCCAGCCTGGGTTACAAAGTGAGTTCAAGATCAGCCTGAACTGCAGAGTGACACCCTGTCTCAAAAAGACCAAAAAACAAAAAAAAGAAACAAACAATAGAGACCCCTGGGGCCAGATGTCCAGTGTTGCTGGTTCAGTAGGTGGGGCCTGGTGCCTTTCTATCACATTCTCAGGTGATGCCCATGCTGCTGGCCTGGGGACTTCTTTTGAGAATTGCTGGTCTAGACCTCAGCTGCACACTGGAATCACCTAGGAGACACTTAGAAACTGCGGGTGCCTGTACCCCACTCTCGGCTCTCTGATTTAATTGGTCAGGAATGCACCCTGGGCACTGGAATCTAAAATCCATCTCATATACACCCAGAGTCAAGGCTGCCATCTGTGCTTGTAGTGAGGTAGAGCAGAAACTCTGGTGTAAGATGGGGGTCAGGGCAAATGCTACTTGAAAGTTTTGTTTCAGATATTTATAGGTATGTCCTGGGCCACAGCGTAAAACTTTATTCTGTGGTTTGTGGTCAAAAGAAAGCTTAACACCAAAGCTCTAGAGGCCCAAGTGACGTCACAGAACGGTGGTTCTCGTATTTGAGTGTACAGGAATCGGGGTGCTTGTTGCCAATACCAGCTCTTGGGACTCACCACAGACCTACTGAATCAGGCTGTTGGGGACAGAGGCCAGCTTCCTTTACAAGCTTTCTAGATGGTTCTTCTGTTCTCCTAAGTTTGAAAACACAGTTCTAATCTAGAGAACCCCAAATAAAGTAATAGGAGATGATGTTAGTCTAAGGGTATAGCTCAGTAGCACATGTGCTTAGCACGTACAAGGCCCCGGGTTCCATCCCCAGCACTGAAGCAAATGGTGGTGGTGGTGGGGACGATGTCTTACAGGGTGCATGTCGTCTCATGGTGTGTGTGTAATGGGACGAGTATCAGGATCAGCTTTTTGAGTCCCCGGTTCAGATGTGCTCTGGGTTTGGAGTCTGTGTGTAGACCAAGGAGAAAAGCCTGGATCTTAAGAACACCAGTCAGGCCAGGCCTAAAGGTGGGAGAGGTGCTCTGTCTTCCCAGACTCCTTCTGTCCTACCTGGTCATTTTCTAGGCCTGGGAAAGCCATGGCCAGGCTCAAGTTGAGCCTAACGCCTTGGTTTGTGATGGGTGCTTCCAGACTTTATGGAGGTCACAGAACCTGCTCCAGAAGCCAGTGCCAGGGTTAGGGACAGGTCCCAGCAGCATTACCCCCTTGCTTTCCTACCGTCCTGTGTGTCTATTCTGTACTGGGCACTGTACGGGAGATTGATGAGCACACAAGGTTCCTGCCACCGAGGTGATAGTTCTGACCATCTGGCGGTGGGAAACCCTTCCTGAGCATCTTCTCCCTGTCAGGCTCCTGTCCTCAGGCTACAGTCAGAAGGGCCTGGGGGCCGCTTCTCAGAGGCCTCCAAAGAGAAAGTTCGGAGAGTCCTACTAGGCCTGCTTCCCACACCCAGTCCCTAATCCACCTCCTCACACCTCCTCCTGGCTTTGTTGTACTACTAATCCCAGAAGCACTGAACATGACATTGTAGAGACCTGCTGGAGCTTTCTAGAATCTGGGACCTTGTACTGTACTCTGCCTTTTTCCTGTGGGTCTTCCTGTAGGCCTAGCTTCCTGCCATGGCTTTCACTGTGCCTGCGAGGTGCTCCATGAACACATCTTGTTCTGCCCACTGCTGCCCTCTGACACGCAGTCCTCCCTCAGCCTGGAAAACTTTGTCCTCCATCTCTCCCCCAGGCAGATGCTCACTCATCCTTCAGGACTGGGCCCACTGTCATCTCCCCAGAGTGTTTGTTATTCTTTGCTCTCAACTCCTATAGCATCTTAAAAAGACTTCCTCTGTAGCTGTAGTAAACTCCCCTCAGTACTAGGGCTTGAACTCAGGGCTTCACACTGCTAACTAAGTGCTCTACTAAGTTACCTCCTTAACCCTTAAACTTCTTGCTTAAAGCAAAGAGAGCCAGACTTAGGGGCGCACACCTGTAATCCTGGCACTCAGGAGACTGAGGCAGGAGGATCACCACAAGTTTGAGGTCAACCTGGGCTACATAGTGAGTTCAAGATTAGCCTGAACTGCGTGGTGAGACCCTCCCTGTCTCAGAAAAACCCAAAAATTGCTGATAGTCACAGCTCTGCCTGCCTGGCAAGCATAAGATCCTGAGTTCAATTCCCAGTACCAAAAAACCAAATACATAGTGTTGATTCTGTCAGGCACTATT